TATATATATATATATATATATATAATTTTTAACTTCTAAACTAAACAACATGGTGTTGCTGTCTTCTTAACTGTACTAGCACAAACAGTATTGACGTTTGTTTTGTGTTTTTTTTTCTGTCGAATAACAATTGCAACAACATATTTCTGCTTTGGTGTATTTCAATATAAATCTTTGAAATTACTACAGTATTTAAGCGCTCCTCTACTGACTTGTGTGTAGGGTTCAAATGTGTTATGTGGTAAAATTATACAAAAAAAAAAAAACATTCAATTTTCTCCAAGGTCTAAGACACCTCTCCTCATAAACCTTTTTAAAGAGTACTAAAATGTTTATGCGTTGTTTTTCAGAAAAGCCTCCAGTTTCAAACATTGCATTTGCCTTCAAAAAATAAAATGTTAATTTGTAAAAAAAAAAGCCCGTAAAAAAAACAAAAAACAAATAAATACTGGGAAGTTACTAGAACTTTTTCCACAATCCTGGTTGATCTCAATTCCTGGCGCTAGACCGTGACATGCAAACAGTGTTGCACAAGTGTCGCATTTGGCATCGAAACCATCACGGATCAGTCTGGCCTCCCTGTCCGGTATTCAAATATAAACAGACACACAGGTGTATTCCTGTTCCCTGTCACTTCCGTGCGGGTTTTCCAGAGAAATACAAGAGAAGGATACGTGGGAAACCTGAGACACTGCTCATCCTGCTGTAACATTTAATATGGTTGAATTAGTAGTAAACATATCACAAAAAGGTCAGAGGTCGTCAGTGGGAATGTCGTCGCATTTGTATCTGTGGTAAGATCTGAAGATTTGGAGCCGTCTACACCTGATCATTTCCCCCGAGAACAGATGTTTTTTGAACATGTCTAAATGGAATTTAAGATGTCTGACTGGTTGTTTTGGAAAAGCATGAGTGATTGTGATCTTTGAGCAGCCTGCCAGTCTCAGGAGACGTGAGACGCCAAATATGGAGATGTTCAAACCGCCACTGGGACTTGAAATTTTTTTTAATCCCACTTTTTTTTCTCTTCTATTTCTTATTTTTATTTCTATGAATACATTTAATACTTAAGTACGTAATACACAAACATGATCTGTGCCTGGTAACATGCAGTGTCACAGGAGGAGGTAATGTCACACTGACAGCCCAGACTGTGCCTCCTGCGTGACATACAGATGTTCAGCCAGCTGTTGCACAAGGTTAAGCTGATTTGGGCCAACTAATCAAAGCTTATCTTGTAAAATATGTCTCCACCTAAGTCGGCTACAGTCACATTTGCCTCTTTACATTACAGGTACACAACAATTTATGACGTGTAATTAAAGGTGCTAATCTTTGACACCAAATTCCATACGAAAAAAACAAACAATATTTTGCATTTCCGGAGACTGGCCTTCTCGCCAAAAAAAGATGGATTCTGAAAAAAGTGACCTTTAAAGGGAAGAAAAACACTGCTGGGAATGATTTATTCTTTTCTGTTTTTTTTTTTTTTGTTATAAAACCACGGTTTGCGGACCAGTCCTGGGCCGTGTACTACTGGTATTGGGCCACACCGAAATAATTTTTTTTAAATTTTGTTTTGTAAATTAAGTTATATTAATCTGCTTGGTATTTAATTTTGAAAAAATGATAACACTTGTCCACTCCTCTTCAGGTAAAAAAAAAACCGTATTAATATTAAATAATAATTATTTTACATTATATATACATGATAATTAATTTATATATGATGAAAAGAGATCAAATCACTGTCTTAGACTACGCCCGTAAGCTGACCTTAGTGGAACAGAGCAGGACGGAGAGGACTTTCACGATGAGTTAGGTGAAACCTTTTGTACAGATCTCTTGACACCGACGCCTCACAGAGATGGATGAGGCCGCGCTACTCGTTTTTTTCGTGTGTCCCAATCAGCTCCCGCCGTGAACCCGCTGACCCAGGGCTTTGTGGAACAACCTAGCAGGAACAAAGCAAAGGTTTTTCTCGAGATGTAAAAGTGGCTGCGCGGATCCTTTCACACGTCCGTGAATGTGTTGTTTAACACAGAATTCTCTTTGAACACGTTTGAGTAGGGAATGTGAGAAATGCACATCTCCATACGGCTGGGGACCAAAGGTCATTTTAACACATTTTGTTTGAATGAGCCTTGTTGAGTTTGCAGCCGAGGACGCACTTGAAGCAAGCATCGAGCTTCATGACAGCCGTCAACAGTTTCAAAATAAAACAGCCATGCATTTATCATTAATAAAAAAACAAACGTCTTGGGACTGACTGCTGTCTAGTCGGAGGACTATTTCTCATACTATCTTTTTTTAAAATTATTTTTACCCACTTAATTGGTTTTTGGATTACAGGAAAAGGAAGGAAGTTGTTGGGGTTGGCAGAGATCACTCCTCCTAGTTGCTGAGTGAGGGTGGGATACACAGAAGACTGATCACAGGCATGGTCCTATGTAGAGAATGAAAAGAAAAACATGCCTTCACAGTCATATCCTGCAAGATTTTGGACTAAGGGAGGAAATTTCTGGAGAAAAAAAAAAAGCTCATGTGACAATCCCTTTCAAAAAGATCATACGTGACTGAATCAGCGGTCTTCTTTGCTGTAAGGCAGGAGCACTAATCACTTCCACCGTGCGGCCGCTGTGTAATACTTGTGACAATATTTCAAGCACATCAATGAGAGGAAGCCCCGGAGGTAAATGTTGGACCAAGTAACCCCCCTTCATCCTACAGTCAGAACCCAGTGACCGTGACAAACACTGTTCGTTGACGAAGAAAAAAAAACAAAAATCTTGTTAGTGTCATATGAACACAGCATCTACTGCCAGTGTTGACGAAATCAACTCACTCTTTTCGTTGTATAACACACCTGGTTTATCGATGTCTCGTGGTGACCTCTGTTTGCTGATCTGTGACTCTGACATTTCACATTGATTGCGGATCGTGCGGTGGTAAACAGAGTTAGCTGCGAGCGCTCTCTTAGAATCAATAAGGTTGAGCGGGAACGTGGAAGTGAAGAAGCGCGCAACATACAAAATCTGACACCGAATATGCTCTGGATGAGCTTTGTTGTCGATTTTCTCACTTCAACATTGATTATGTAAATTCTAACGACTCCCATCAACTCCGTTCTGTGATATTATTTTTCTTCCCCTCACCTTTGTCTCCTCCCAACGGTCCACCTGCAGTTTATTCTACCTTCAATTTGTTTGTGTTTAAGATTAAGTCTTAAAATTCCTGTTTCTGTAACCTGGTCCCATGCCATACCAAGTTATTTTCCCATTTGTCAAGGCATTACGGTTGGAAAAATAGTTCTTCATTCCCCCGTGCACCAACTCCCGGAAATCCAATTTTCTTTTACAAAAAAACCCCAACTTTTTCTCCATAGCTAAAAACTCAGATATTTTGTTGGTGGATTTTCCAGGATTTCTTTTCTGGTTCTCTTATGGCACTAATTTATCACAGCTAACGTGGTTACGGAATCACTGGGTTTCGTGCATATGTTACTTTTTCTTGCACGCAGACAGTGAAAGCTCATGTCACACGGTGAAAGTGACAGTGGTAAAACATCCCAAAAGCCCTTACAGCACACTGACGAGACTACAGGACAAACATATCGTAAATGCTAATGGAAGCGGTGGGAGAACAGAAAGTCACAACAACAGCACCAGGAAATAAACAATCTGCGCGAATCTCTCCTGTGACCAAAATAGGGCACAGATAAATTGGCAATTTAAAACATACGCTGTGGAAAATCAATGTGGAAAGCTTCTATCAGGAGCTTTTCCCTTCGTATACTGAGAAGAGAACGTGTCCACAAATCTGAAGATGTTGATGCTCGGTGTATTTATTCTATGTTATTAGTACAATATATTAAATTAGAGCTGTGGGTTGAATGTAGTGGTGTCTGTAGGATTGCAGGGTTTTTTGGTTGGGAAATTGTTTTACATGTTTTGATTTCGTAGCTTTTTATTTGCAACATATCAAACCAACCCCTTTATACATTCTAATAATAATAATAATAAGTCTAATAATATGTATATAAATAGTGAACAAAAAATAGAAAAAAAATAGTTGTACGACTTAAAATATACATTTGACATTTTCTGAACTGGACTAAAGAAAAGAACTGTAACAAAAAATGAAATTCAAATGCAGCGTTCAAACACAGCACGCGCAATCTTTTCAAGGAGACGTTCATATTGGAGCCAGACCGCTTCCGTCGGCAACAAAAGGTTAAAAGCATCCAGTAACCCCTGACCTATTCCCTCTCTGAGAGTGAATTTGTAGCATCTGAACCACTCTCCTGTACTTCAACTTTTAAAAACACAGCTCGGCACACAGGTCTTGACCAGTAACCAGCAGCAGCAAATTCCTACATTTCTCAGAGCCAGCTGTTCGTGTCACAACTCCAACTCCTCACAGGTCAACACTATTGTCAAATCCCAGTTGACTTTCAGGTCAAAGGTGAGGTGGCGTGATGTTCGCAGGACTCGTGTGCGAAAACTCAACTCTCTCGGCCCATAATCTTGGCGTTTTCCTCCTCTGCCGTCTCTGAATTACGAAAGCGGCCATTTTTAATCTCCCACAGAGATATGATAATAATAGAGCTGACTAAGCCGTGTCATTCGTGCAATTAAAAAAAGGCCCAGACGGATTTTCTCCTTCACTGAACCTGCGTATAGTTTCAAGGTTTTTTTTATCGTCGTTTCATAACAGCACTCAGAAACCTCGGTCATCCACATTTTTCCTCTTTGAAAAAAAAAACATGCAACAGATTTAGGGAGATCAATAACAACAGACCAGTGTCAGCTTCGTGCATCATGTGAGCGTCACAGGAGGTGAAGTGTTTAAAAGCCCCATGAGAACAACCTCTCAAAGCCTTTTTTTTGTGCTGTTAAAATGAGCCGTGCAGTCTTCAAGGTTATGATCCAACAACTCCCATTTAAATCCTCAAGGCCCTGGAGATCTGCCCCCACAAATCCCTGTGCCTTTTTAAAACTGTACCTTCATATAGAGCAGTGAGGTGTCACAGAACACCAGCTCGGGATATGGGTTAAACTCACTGTACTGTAAGTACTCTGTAACCTTAGCGTCAGTGAGAGAACCACGCAGAAGTTTTAGGACTGTGTTGCATAAGACGTTCTAATCGCTGACATTTAAAGTCCTGTCCAAAACACAGTGGGAGGCGGGGTCTCCTCCTGCCCTTCATCTGACCACACAAAGTCAATTCCTTCCAGATTCCAACAAGCACAGAAAAAAAATACAACTTAAATATATTATACACTGCCTGTTAGATTTGTAAAAATACCAGCAACTTCTATGACTACAATAAATACACACGGTGGACGAGTGGTTACTGCTCTTGCTTTACAGTAGACTCAGTTTGATCCCTGATGGAAACGAATGGTTTTGTTGTCGAGTTTTTCCAGGATCGTCTTCTTTCGTCCACAGCGCAATAAAATGGAGGTTAAATGGATTAGGCTATTTGGACACTAATAACTGTGCGCTAGTGGTTAATGGGTGTTTGTCTCTACGTGTGACCATATGATGGAGTGTCTGGAGTGTAATCGCCCTCCTCCCATTGACAAACAGGATTGGCTTCAGCTCCCACTGCGACCCTTAAAGGATTAGGCAAGAGTGGTTAAAATTATGAGAGTAAAAGGTTGTTGATATCCTTGTGCAGCAGAGGGAGTAGTAAATGATGTACTTTAGGAGATAATATACATCACTGAAGATGTAAGAATAGCTGGGTATATCTGGGTAATCTACTGGTTTATCGTTTTTGGTCAGATGGTACACGGTCAACCATCAATACCACCAAGAGCGAAGAAATGGTGATTGACGCCCACAAAAAGCTACAGCACAACTACACACACAGTATGAACATGCAGGGATTGGATTTAAAGTTTATAGAGAAATGTCTCCTCACTGACAAACTGGTCTGAGACAGGAAGTGCTGATCTGCGAAAGAGCTGAGCAACGTCAAATTTAAATAACAAACGCAAAAAAACATTCTTCAAAACAGGAGCAACTTTCAACTGAAAAAGACGAGAAACTAGTGACTTACTGTCCGTTAATTAGACAAACCACTCGGATCCTGTTAAAAGAATGAGAACACCCACAGATGGGAACATCAGGTCCGACATCTCAGGTCAGCAGAGATCTAACCTGGCACTGCAGTCTTCATTTATTATTTATAAGGTTAGGCACTCATTAGACAAGCGTTTGATAAAACCTGAAGTAGAAGCACTGCCGTCTCATTTTTATTCATGTGCTCATTGTGTCCGTATTGCCGGACTCAAATGGAAAAGCAAAAAAAAAAAACAAAACAAAGGATTTTCAGCCATGTGGGAGGTCAGTACAAACCCAACCCATAAACAATATCACCCCACGACAAAAATGTGTTAGAGCCTTGTTTCTCGCCGTGGTGCATTTCACATGAAGCTAGCATACCTTCAAGAAAGGCGAAAGAGGAATTCCTGGAACAGATGCCAAACGTGGAAGAATTTGTGAGATTTAAAAAAAATGCAGAGAGGCAGTACTTTTATTCAGATTAGGAAAATACCAGAAAGTCACACATAGCACAGTGTAGCACTTACTTCTCCCATTAGGGAAACATGTTATTGCTTCAGACAGGAATACTCAGTTCACACCGTCAACACAGTGACACTCCCATGGTCAAGGCACCTGAGCACAGCCAACCAGAGCAAACCAAACCAGTGAGACAAGCCTAATTACGTTATGACACAAAATGGCTGTGCAAACACTCGTTGGTGGCCGCTGCTGTCGTCACCTCGTAAATTAGAAAACTGAAAAGAGATACACGAGCGTTACAACTTCAGCACCGTCACCACAGTCCACACACACACACACACACACACCCGCAACAAACATGAATACAGCGCTCACAGCTGAAGCGCCGCTTCACGCACTGGTCCTTTGTCTCTTACAGTACACGATAAACGCAGTTCATGACTGATTCGAACGACAGCGACACTTTACACAGCAACTTTACGAGGTTTCTTATGTCACTGACAGTCCAAATAAAAGAACAAACACTCACACAGAAGAAAGCTGCACGTGAATGTGAGAGTACACATGGTACTTCGGAGACAAATACTGCATTTACACACACATAAACATGATTAACGCAGCCAGAGTTATGTAAATGTTCATGTAAAGTGGCTTGAATGTAACGAGCAGGTACTCGTTACGAATATTGACACTAGACTGTATTTTATTTATTTTGATACTGATACTTAAACACATGAAGGTGTTTCGTAGAAATTTAAGGACGGCTCGATGTAACTTATTCATGTCTGATACGATGCCTATACTGCAACGTGGAGTACTTGTCAATTAACGCGTGTCACGCAGAGTATTGGTAGTAAAAAAAACTCTTTAAATACCAGTTGCACGTTGCCGTTGTGCCGTTGTGCTACAGATAATAAACATGCAACAGTGCATTTCTGAAATTCTGTTTGTGCTACTTATTAATAAACAACAATTTGCATCGGGTTCCAGGCATCAGCTGGAGTGTTCCGTAGCTTTGCATATAACTTTGGAAAATGACACAGTTCTAATTTTAAAATGTTTTGACATCAAAGCATCAGTAACTACACAACTATATTTATAGTTTTATTTTCTAACCATCTTAGAAAAGAACTCATCAAGAAGCGTCAGTTTGTTGCCACCTGGATTATCTTGGGAAAATAAACGATGGTCTGTCTTGGCCAGGACACTTTTATTTAAGAGATTTGTAAACTATTTTTTTTTCTAGGTAACATAAATGTAATTAAAAGTGAAGCCCAGGAACTACGAGAGAAATGTGACACAGTTTGAACGGGGTCTCTAAAAAAAAAAAAAAAGAGGCCATCTGTTCTGATTAATGTCAGCAAACACAAGACGAAAAAGAACACGGAGGGAATTTTCTAAACAAATTATGTTGTTCACAATTGGGCTCAGGTATCGGATCAGACGGGCTATAGTTTTGACCATTATCAGACTGATCCTGAGTATCGGATCTAGCCGTCCCAGGAGAAAAGTGGACGGGGTTTGTAGGCGACAGCAGCATGTGAGCACAGCCTGAACAAAATACTAAAACTTTGGGTTTTGGTAGCTGACAAAAAAAAAGCAGCACTTACTTTATACCTTAGCATTTATAGAAAAAGAAATGCAATTTGAAGATAAAGACTCTGGTACAGGACTCCTTTAATATATTAATGACAAAAAAATGAATCTCTGCATAGATAAAGCTTTGGAGCTTTCATTTCTTCCCTTTTCTCCTTATTACACATTTCTCTGGCCTGATATTAAAGACAAGGTGACACGTTTATGAGAAAGTAGAAGCGGAGCGAAGAGTTTTCACAAGTCAATCATAAAACTCTCTTTATGAAGTTTAATGTCTACTGTCTGCTGAGGTGTGTGTGACTATTATTCAGTAGATTGAACCGACAACCTTTCTGCAGGTCATCTTAATTCTTTTTTAAACCGTGACAGTGGCTCGTTCGCCTTTATCACAAATACGGTTCATTATTATTGAGGACGTTGTCGTTCTTAATTTAGTATCAAACTGAATTTTCTGCATGTCATGATTCAAATGGCAACAAAATGGTCATTTTAAAAAAAACCTAATCAAAATACACCTAAAAAAAGGAAAATATATTTTCCCCCACATCCAGCCTGAATGTTTGCGTCATACGTTAAAGTGCTGCATTTGAAATTTTCCAGGTTGCATTTGTGTCTGCGGTGCATCTGTGCTGCTGCCGTGTCTAATATACATATCCATTTGCATTCCCATTAACAACGTAACACAACAACAGCACTGCTGCATGGAAAGGAGGTCGGAGAAATAACTAAGAAATACACTCGATTTTCTTTTGGGTTAAAAAAAAGAAAAGAAACTGTGTCGTTTAGTTATATTAAAGGTGAAGATGAAATGTCGTGGCACGGAGTGGCATCTTTGGCTGTGTGAGACAAGAGCTGTGAGCGGCTTTAAAAGGCATGAGTCAGTGCCACACTGACCTCTTCCTCGGCGGTGCTGCCACTTATCTGAAGAGGCTGTATGAAGGAGGCCGCCTTCATCGTACAGGCGTTTCCTGCTTCCCTACAGTAAAACAGCCACACGTTCACAGTGAAGCTGGCGTTGCTGTCGGAGTCCTTCACGACAGCTGGAAGTTTGGTGGAGATGAAAACGGGCTTGGAGAGATCGGAAATATCACCGGTGATGACCTCACTGTCCAGTAGCCATTCATTACCTGTGGGAGGCAGAGGAGGAGAGTTTAGGATTTGAACAGACAACGTGTCTTAAAACTAAGGTGTCGCTGGAAAGATTTGAACCTTAACTATTATTATTCAAATCTAGTCTAACGCTGTGTCCCCTTATGATGTTTTTATGTCATAGATTATGATATTACCATAATCTGACATCTAATCTATAACCGACCAATACCGTGTTAGCATAGGTGAGCGACACGAGTATGTTATGTACAGTGTGTGAGTTCCGACTTTCGGCCGAAATCGAGTTACGTCACGCTTTAGGAATGGAACTCTAATGAAAGTTTAGGATCCCTTTATTTCTTTTATTCTTTCGTAAAAGCAAAAGTGACAAAATAATAGTCTTAAATGATCTTCTAAAGTCAGGTTTGTTTAGATGTTGTCGTTCTTTCAAGTTCCCACCCCTGCCCCCAGGTGGTAAATTCCTGAAATAGAATTTGTAAACAGAAACAGTTTGTAAAAGTAGTGGCTCAAAAAAAAAAAAAAAAAACTCCATCTAGTTCCAAGTCATTTCACGTGACAGTGAATTGATTGTATCGTCTTCTGCAAACTGTAACCAGATGTGAGTTGGTGTTGTCGTGTTTTCCGACCAGTGGAAGCAGATTTTAAGGAAAACACATAGACAAAACAAAGAAGCCTCTTTGAGTTCACCCTGAGATTAGTCCTGAGTCAGTGTCCAGGATGTCTTCTAGACATTTCTGACTGATCGACCCCTAAAAGAAATGACATTTCTGACTGATCGACCCCTAAAAACATGCGTCTTCGTTCACACTGTCACTAACGCAGCGGCATATAAAAATGAAATGGTGATGTTCTTGTCTGAAGGTGATTGCTACAAGTTCATTTACAAAGTGAATGTGTCTGTGAGAAACTGTCAGACATCTAAAACGGATTGTTGAGCTCAGGAAGGAGAGCCTTTTGTAAAAGTCTGCCTGGAGTTGCAGCATTACGTGGCCCGTCTGAATTATAACTCCCAAACCAAATAACCCTGCTGAATCTGACGAAGGGGGGTGCAAGTAAATGAATTTTGGTTGGTATTTTTAGAAGCAAGTAGACTATCTAAAAAGGGCGTGCAAAGTCACGAAGAGAAAAAGAACGAGCATCTACTGTGAAGAAAATATTACGTGAGGACGTCTGGCAAATACTTGTCAGCGATGATGAACGACGCCGATGCCTAACGTGAGGTCCCAGGGAAGCCATTTGCGAGAAGCCACTGAAATGCGCGTTACATCTGGTGAGCACTTCTAACGAGATCCATTAAAATTCCTGCTTCCGCTCTGATATGTGCTCAGACGACTGGATACAGTCAAACAGCAGAAGAGGTGCGGGATCACATAACATAGCCTGGTACCTAATATGCAGGCGGAGGCATGTGGTCTTATCAAAACATTCTAAATATAGCCCGTCTGATATCTCTGTCTGCAGGCCGTATCACTCCGAAGCAGACGGACACTCGTGTTCCCAACCTAATGAACTGACCAGCATTCACCACCGACAAATCTCCACAGCACTTCCTACTTGATCCCAAGTCAGATAACCAGTCATTACCAACCGAGGTCTCCAAACCAAGCCTGCTATAGTTCATTTTTAATATGATATTAATCAGCGCGGCTACAGCCTCAGTGAGGCTTGAACAAAAATCCCAGACTGATTGGCTCTCTTTACCCCAGCTGAAAACCGTCAACACAACTGTCATTGAAAAGTCAAATTAAATAAGGAATTCATCAAACATTTCTGAATCTTTAAAACGTTTCCATTTGTGAGCAAAAAATGTGTTCTGTGGTCAGGTGACGCGAGTCCATATTTCAGCTTGTTCGATGGAAAACGAAGGCGTTGAATTTTGTAATGTGCAAAAAGATAACACAGAAACTAGTCTTAACAAAGGTGTTTCTGTGCAGCTGGTATTTGTGATGTTGATCGTGAGATCTGAACGAAAGACAAAAGCAGGGCGTTCTCAGACATCCAATCCCTTTGCAGAACTGGCCTGTCTGCAGTTGAAATTCCATCTGAAAAAAAAAACTGCAACAAACTTGCAGTGTAGTTTAAAAAAAAAGAAGACGGATGATGTGGCAGAAAACATCTCTCTGTACCAGACGGTTTTGAAGTATAAAACAGGAGTCAATTTGTAAATTAGTTTATGGCCTAGAGTCAGAATTAGGATAATGTGAAAACACTGAGTCATTCAGTTTACCTTTTTCTTTTTTTCAAATAGAGATGGGAATTACTGGAAGTTATTTAAGTTGCCGATGTTTCAATACTGGGGACTACAAAATATTTTTTCTTCTATCAAGACAAAGAATATCCACATGTATGTTTGATCAAGACAATTTGGGAATCTGGTCACGGGCCACCAGTTGATGATCACTACAGTTTATGAATAATCTATTGCACCTGCCATTTTAACAGGCAAATGTTGGTTTCATGCAAGTTTAGAAAAACTTCACTTTCAATATTATTCCTGTAGTCTTTTATTACCAAGATCGGGCTTGGATTTATGTGATGACATCTGTAGCAGTGAATGAACTTCTTCTTACCCTCAGCTGAAAGTGTCCAGCAGCTGGGGGCCTCTTCAGTCAGTTTGCTTCCTTCTGGGAGGGACAGGGTGAGGGACAGGTTGAAAGTCTGTCCCGCTGACACTGCTGCCGGTGGCAGTGTTTTCCTGACAGCTGATTTAGGCAGTGTGGGGGCTTTGACAGGAGCTGGCATTCTGGTAGGCACAGAGTCTGTGCAGTCCTTGGATATTGAGAACTGGAAATGTGAGAAACGTGGGTGTTGGGGTTAAAAAAAAAGAGCAAAGATAAAGCTCAAAATGTTCTATATGCATAATTCATCTTTGTCATATCCAATAATATATTCAACCCCTGACCAATGAGGCAGTCTTGGAGACCAGGTCCAACACTTTGATTTGGTGGTTGTTGGTATCGGCAACGTAAAGTATCTTCCCGTCACCACTGACGCAGATTCCTCCAGGTTCATTGAAGCAGGATTTGCCCAGTTCTGGTCCCAGGGCATCTCCAGCCTCTCCTGTTCCTGCTAGTGTTCTGCACACCTTCGTCTTTGGATCCACCACCTTGATCTGGATCACACAAACAGAATTCATGGATAAAATCAGTCAAGCATATTATCACTGATAAATGGAATAGAGAAACAGAAGGAGTAAACTTTATTGACATTTGACTGTTACCTTATGGTTGTAGGAGTCGGCCACGTAGAGTAGGCTTTGTTCAGTGGCCCAGGCCACACCAAGGGGATGCTGCAGCTTGGCGTCCACTCCTTTACCGTCAACATCCCCGAAAGCAAAAAGGTTCTGGTTCAAGAAAGAGCAAAGAGTTCAGAGATAAAATAGAGGAGGCAATAAGGAGGCAAATTTCAAAACTGTAACTTTTAAACCTCTCTTTTAAACCCTCATCTGAAAAATGCAAAATGAGGATTAAACTATTTTGGAAGTCGAAGTTCAAGTGGTCATAGCTTGATTATAATTATTTCTGGCCTTAACTTCTGGGCCCAGACCCCTTAAATCCAGCCCGCAAAAAGATGTGAATAATTATTTAAATTTTTTCTTTTGATGATTTGTAAATTGTTATGTTTGTTTAGTCAGTTAATATACTCATTTACACTTTTGTATTACACAGTATTTACAAGATTAAACAAAAACAAAAAAACATGACATATAATATATCTTTTTTTGTGTTGAACAAAATGTGGGCGCAGTGGTGGACACACTGGATTTCGAAGTCCTCACTGATGGAAGATAGTAAAACAACTAAACACTGTTTAAATCTATCCAATAATTGACACTTTTGACACACTGTTGACACAACAATCTCAGCAGCCATCAGGTGTCATGCACCCACCGTTGGGTCTCTCTCTCCACCGACAAGCATCTTAACACCACCATCCTTCAGAGCGATGGTGCGAACGCTGCTGCTCTCACTGTCGGCCACAAACATGCAGCTCCACGGCTCCTCGGGGGCCAAAGCCAGACCTGAGGGCTGAGCAAAGCCAGCCTTGTGGGGGTAAGAATTGTTCCTGTTTTCCTCACTGCCGCTGCCGGCCCATCGCACGCAAGTCCCGGCCTTGAAATCACTGTTGTGTGTTGTAAAATAATAACATGACAAAGAAAAAAACCCAAAAACAAATCAATGACAATGTTTTAAAATATGACAACAGATTTCACATCTATTTTTGACAATATAACATATATATATATTTAAAAAAAGACTATCATCTCAGTAGTCGTGAGCCAGTCTCTTACCTTCCTTTGGGCAGTTTTAAAAATATTAGATTTTATAAGACTATCATCTCAGTAGTCAGTCTCTTACCTTCCTTTGGGCAGTTTACCATCAGCTAGAAACAAGGCCCAGATCTGGTGTGTTCCTGCCATAGCAATCCAAAGCACATTATATTCTGCAGCACCTACAGCAGGTATACAAATGAACAAAAACAAAAGCCACTTCAGAGTCTGAAAACTTGTACACACACTGTATAAGTACTTATGTCGCTCATGTACGCTAACACAGTGGTAAGAGAGTAGAATCCTGGACATCAACATCAGAAGAGCCTGCCATGTGCTTGGGAGCCATAATGAAGCCATCTTCCGCACATAGTGCGACGTGACGACGTATCCCTTTTTCTCTGCACCTTAATACCATTTGCTCATTGACATGCCAACAGCATCGTGAACGAGAATGAAGCAGCTCTGCGGGTTTTAGCAGCAGCAGAAACCTGACTGACATAAGTTCATACAGTTTTTACATGCTACTTCAAACACACCTGGTACAGCAACAACCACAGCGGTTACAACCCCTCTGAGACACTAAGCCGCTCTGTTGGAGTTTTTTTTTTTTTTAAATGCAGCGCAGATCTCAGCCTCTCTTGGTCACATCTGCTGGACTGTCAGAACCATTTGCCGCACTTTCAGTGATACTTCGTAGCTAACTGAGCGCAAAGACCCTTTGATGTGGTCACTTATTCATTTGCATGCTAGAAACTCATAAATATGCAATATGAGTGTTTGGATGTACTCTCGGAGGACAACTCCAATTGAAGTCAAAGGTCTCTGCGCTCGATGTCCCACGCTGTGATGTTTCAAAATACCAGGTTGTGTCACCCAGCAGTGGACGGCAAAACTTGTCAACTCCAAATGATTTATTCTGCTGAATTAAGACACGGGGAAGAAAAAAAAACCTCACGATTCTGTTACTGCATTATTATTTGCTGTATGTGTTAAAGATGTCTCGTACAAATGCGTATGCTTATTAAAAGGTCAAATGGTCGTACATAACATAACATAACATATTTCTGTTTGGATGATATCTGCATATTAAACAGGTGTTCAACAATTATAAGACTGTCCTGTTATTTAAATTTGTACAAATTATTATCATCATGCCTATTTCGAGAAAAACTTATCTAAGAATACAATTATCTATGAATCACTGAAACAAAAAAAAAAACAAAAAATACAATTTGTGTCATGAGGTCATGAAAGAAAATCTCTTCAGTAACCGGATTAGCTTAAACATGTTTTTGTAAAGACTATTCTTTGTTTGTGTTCACATTCAAAAAAAGGGAAAAATGATCATTTAAGCATATTGTTTGGGAGTGTACAGCTCCACAGAACTTCCTGGCTCTGATTCTATCTCTGTCCATCTATAGATGATGGCTTATGCTTTCTGCTTTCCAAAAAAAGAAAACAAAAAACACAGACCAGGTCGGACTTTAAAGCATGGCATTGTGATGAACAGAGGTTTGATCTGAAAATTAAATCTTTTGGTCAAACAAAAATGGTAGAAAAGGGACAAATACTGAGTTTTTACTAATTAATAGCTATGTACTTAACAGACTTTATAATCTACGCTCCTCTGTGGATCCCTTATTATGTGTGATTTAGCACTAACAGTTTTCAGGGGAAATTATCCAACAAAAGACTTCCAAAATTTTCAAATTCATGCCAGTCACTGACAAATGGCTGCTTTTGTTTTAATTTGCTAAGGCTTTTGACCCTCAAAATAAAAAGGATGAAACAAAGAAAGGACGATCAGGAAGGGTGTGGGGCTGATGTTTATCGTTGGTGTTATTGATTGTGCAGCAGCATTAAAAGAAAGGCTACGATCAGCAGAAAGGGACTCAGTGAGGCAGACAGTGACAGCGAGGCTAGGTACAAAAGGGTGGAGATAAAAAAGGTTGAAAAATGTTGCCCTTCAGTCTTTTTACACTACAACACAATACTGACCCGCCGAGCCCAGAGTCACATCCCAGGGTGAGCTGATTGGCTGCTGAGGCCCCATGGCTCCGCCCTCCTTGTCTGTGCCTTGAGCTCCGATGCCAGCGAGGGTGCTGACTCTTCCCTCTAACAGGTCAATCTAACACACAAACAAAGGCATGACCAGAAGGTCACCGGGATTGATAATGTTTCCTCCTAAACGGCAACAGAGGACAATACCTTTCGGATCAGGTGGTTTTCTGTATCAGCGACATACACTGTGTCTCCATTTATGGCAACACCCTGAGGGGCGTTAAAGGAGGCTTCGGACAGGTCACCATCTTGACTCCCACTTTCAGGTCCTGCAGCACAATTGATGACACCATTAATGTTATAGAGATGCTTTTTAACGTTGCTCCTCGTGTAAACTAAAGCCTAGTTGCTTGCATATGGGTGAACACAGCGTTTATTTGTTTTCCTATTTCTGCTGAGCTGTCATGCTGCACAAACACCCACTTAATTTATAGCTTACCGCCTTGTAATTTAAAGATGGAATCTACGAGTTTTAGGTCAAAGCCAGCAGCAGTTCACACTGAGGCTTGTTCTGCATATTTGGACATTGACGGAACGTTACCTCCAAAACAGATGTTTTGACATTAATGTAAATAACCCTAATATCCTGCAGGTCAGCGCGCTGTGCAGCTGAGCGTGCAAAGAGGAAACATTGCTTCATCATTGCTTTTCCACAGATAAAAGTTAAGAATTAAAATTCATTTTAATTTGATCAAAGTATGCCTTTTCAGTTTTTATCACAGCAATTTGCATATTTTCCACAATGTTGGAAAAGAGTGATCAACTGAATTACAATTAGATGAAAATGTCCTTCTTCCCCTCAAAAAATACTTTCATCCCTGCTACCACATACAACTGAGCAGACCTGCAACACTGAAAGTTCTATTCCTGCCCTAAGTAATATTTGTACGATATATCAGTGGTTTGTATTAATACGTATCTATTAATATATTAGGAATATTTGTCCACAGAAAGTGCAATTTCATCCTGTGTTTGTACTTTCTCATTTTGTCCACTCTGAATTCCTGTTCCCAGCATGCACTAGTCCCCCCGTTGCCAAATGCACTGTTTGTCTTGGGACAGCAAGGACAATCATGTGGCTCCTTTGAGCTTTTTAAAACATGTGAGCGATCTAAAAATATCAATACTCCTTATGTGCTTTTGGTTAAGTTTTTTCATCATCAAAAATATATAATCAGTGATTTATAAAAATGTCACTCCTGTACCACTTACTTACCTCCAATCGCATTCAACAGAAACCCGTATGAGTCCACCACTAGAATGCGGTTGTGGCCAGTGTCTGCGATGACCAATCTTTTCCTGCCGCTGTCTATCGCCACCTTTCCAGGAAATGACAGTATGCTGGGTTGCAGGGAGTCCCTGTATAGCTTGATTCCCACCGTGTGTGTTTTCAGCAGGCCTCGCTCCCCGTAGTGGCGGAGGGCACAACGGGTAAAAAGTGTCAGCCTGTCACTGTGGCCTTCACCCACCATGGAGAAGAGAAGATTGGCACGCGGTCCAAGCAGGACCAGCGTTGGCCAGCAGGACACCTCCAGCTCATGCCAGAGGTGAGCGTCGCCGTCGTTCACCACCGGGTGGCAGATATTGTAACGAAGGACGGCACTGCGAACATTGTCCAGGACCTAAGAGGGATGAGTCGGAAAACCACATGACATTTGTGAACTTGAATGCCCTTCCCCCTCCTTTTGCTATATAAAGAGGACAGTTTTGGCTTTTCAATGATACCAAATGTGAAATGGAGCTCCACTGAACTTCTTTTGTACAAAAAGCACCACTTTTCAATCAATAAAAAATATATCAAGTAAATCAGTGCTATTCCACTCACTTTGGGACAAATACAAAATATTTAAACTTAATTAGTTTGCCTTGCTAGGTCCATATTTGCAACAGTTTTGTCTTTTTTCTTTGTTTCTGTTAGCTCTGTCTGTACTTCTGCTGCATTTAAAAATAATAATAAGCTACTGCAAAAAAGCAGACTTAACACAAGCACTTTTTGCAAATTGAAAACCAGAATTCAAGCTTCATATTATACAAGAGTCATTAAAAAAAACATCTAAATACAAACCTACCTTTTCATTTGGGAACTTAGCAGAGTGAACACCAACAATAACCAGTCCATCTTGTTAGACAAAAGACAGGAAAAAAAAACAATTAACACATGGCACATTCACACTACCTGCATCAACACAAGACAAAAGGCAGTAAAAAAAACAATTAACACAATTAGCACATTCACACTACCTGCATCAACACAGATATAAATGACATGTTCATAAAAGAAACAATCGTGAACCAGAAGAAAACCTCTTTTTTTGTTTGTCATTATACAAGGTTGCATGGCAATAGTTTAAAGCCTCAAGGCCAAAGAGCATCATTTCTCATATTCATGAAAGATTACTCAGTAAGCCTATTATATAAGCAACGGAGGTCAGCGGTATTATTTCACTTTATACTGAGACTGTGGATTTTGAGATGTTATACAACTGAAGTGGTAAAAAGAGATGTGATTCCGTTTTAACAGACCGTCATAATGTATTATATTATATATGATATTGATATGAAAAAGCAACATACAAAAATACAACTCAAAAATAGCTTCAAAGGATTGATGAATTTCAGTTATTACTGTGCATCTTGAAGGTGACTTGTGGTAAAATAAATTCAAAACGTTAATCTGATTTTAATCTTCTCAAATTAATTAACTTTACCAATTCATTTGGACGGCCTGACTAACGACAATGATAACCTCATCTTAAAGCTACCTTTTCATTTTAGAGACACTGGTTTAGATTTCACATTATTCATATCTCGAGCCATTTCATTAAAGCAACACAAAGCCCCTGTTCCTTCATGAATGGGTCTCACTACACATTTCCTCTCACCGCCTGCAGTGGATTTGGTCATTCGTGGCATATTAGGACAGACGGCAGTGATGATGGGTGAATGGTGAGAGTGAGTGCACAGGGTGGCTCCCACACCTCACAGACCAGAGCAGAAAAACAGAATGTTCTCATAACTGTGCCAAAGATAAGGTCTCCATGATACTACTGTGTAGTGGCACTGAGTGTGTATTTTCTGGGCCCAACTGTTACACAACTAAAAATTAGCTTTATGAGATGATTTCCTGAGGGACCAGAGCTGCGCCGATGTGACTTTGCCTACACAGGCTGCCAAAATGCCAAAAAGTACACGGTGAGCTTTAGCATCCGTCACTGCGGATCGGTAATATTTTTAGCCACAGCGATACGGTCCTATATTGTCCTATGGGAGCAGACAAGGACAGTCTTCGTCCCCTGTGAACTGTTCCGTGGTATGCCAGGAGACATGCAGAATAGGATTTTTCATCCACAAAGGGTAATGTCAGGCTGAAAGATTTTTATCTAATCCTATTTCCACATCAGATGCTTTACATTGTAATCAGTTTAAATGTCACCAGTGGCGTTTGTTCAGCTATGATCACTATTAGGAAATTATTGACATTTCTTACTTGATGAAACTAAAGTGAGGCAAATGATGCATTACTTAATTTTTGCTTTATAATTTTAAAGGAATTAAGTCATAATTGGTTTGATAAGATATTACAGGGAGACAAATTGCACATTCCTTTGTGTATTCACAGGAAAATGACTGAATGAGCTAATCTAAAAAGATGGCAGGGAGAGAAAGCCCATGGTGAGGGAACGGGCCGGTGTCCAGCATCCTGAAAGCTCAAAGCCAAAACAACCCTCAGAGACAATGTCCTATCTTATACAAAAATTGCCAAGTTATTATAAAAGTGTCAGCCTCTATGTCCCATTTCATTTAACTGGAATGAAGTGATTGCTAATAAAGATTTGAGACACTAAAACAATGGTTAATGATGATATAGAATATACTCTAATTTTATACCCACTTTACAGAGATGATTGGGTGGGAATGACGAGCTAACACTGATACAACTACATGGAATTAAAATATTCTACACCGATTTGGATTGGATTTCATGTAACATGCAAAGCTGCAAAGTTCAGTATGACAAAATGCTGCAAGTATTTGGAAGCCAGAATCATAACCATAAACTTTACAGGTGTATTTTTTTCATACCTTCCACTGAGTGTTTCTCCTCAAGCTGGTGGAGATCTGGCAGGATGTGCGTGCAATTGATGCAGCAGTAGGTGAAGAAGTCCAGCAGCACAACTTTGCCAGTCAGCTCTTTGTTTAAAGAAAGAGGAGCCTCTGTGTTCAGCCATTCCAAACCTGAAGCAAACCAGGAAAGTTGAAAATGAGGCTGTTACATCTTAAATTGATTAGTCACCAGGACGCAAATGTTTTGCAGTGCATTCGGTACAATCAGGTGAATGCCTTTGGCCTTAAAGCACCAAAGATTTAAATCAATATACTGAACATTTAGATAAACAACTGTTAAGAGTTTATGTTAAAATGGTTTTCTTTTATTAATGAAAAAAAATATTGGACTCAACATATATTTCAGCCTCAAACTGAATAAAAGGCATTTATGGTTTGGACTTACTGCTTGTTTTAAGTGTCATTTGAGCTTCTAACAAGCATTATAAAAGCCCTTACTGAGAATTTTTTCTTTATCAATCTAGCACTTGACCTGGATGGAATAAGGACAAGTACCAGTTGGAGACACTACTCATATTTTCACCATAGAGAATGTTGCAAGTGCACATAGCTCAAAAGCTGAACCATCCTTTCCTTAATGTTGCAACAAGAGTATTACAGTTTATCTACCGCATGATTTACACAACACTGACTAATGTTCACAAAGTGTCTCCCATCATTCTCTTATTATTATAGGCAATAACTGGTCTATGCTTTATTTTCCATAACAAACCAGATTGTTAGTTGTTCTGCAGTGTTAGTTAATATTATAACCAAGACAACTAGCAGATCTTTCTCACGGTGTGGGATTAGCACCAATTTGAGAAAAATATGGTATTATCCTATCTGTAATGAGCTAAATCTTAAACCACAAATGTTTGAAGAACTTGACAGTTTATGTGCTTTTTCAAATCACTTACTAGAAGAGCTGCAAACTCTAAGGGTAAAAATAATGTCCTTCCAAACAGTTCTTGTTACAAACAATGACCTGAAGGACTTAGAATCTCCATAGACAACCACAGATATAATAAAGATAAACTAAGACAGACCGCAAACCCGGCTTTTACTGAGCAAGCGCTGCTCTAGATCGCCATCTACTGGTGTATTAAAATATTATCAACACAATTATATTGAAATTTCTATCACAAACTTCCTGAAATCCGGAACTTATGTATGTTTCTTTAATATAGACACACACACACACACATATATACCATTATATGCTGACGTGCCGCTAATATTTACGCTTTATTTTAAAATGTAAAGGGGAATGAAGTAGAACACATTACTAATTTGAATATGTAATTGTTTGTGCAATGTATTACGCCAGATTTCACCACCAGATTTAAGAACAAGCCACACTTATAAGTGAAATTATTTACTTATCTGACTGTGTGGGAACCAGTGGTTTAATTTTAACTTTTATAGATACCTTTTTTAGTTGTAAACGTGAATGACGTAAAGTACTTTGGAGTAATAGTTGAGCGTAGTTGATAGACTACATTGACATACAAGTCAGGTATGGGTTCTAGAAGTATTCCGTTTCCCCTATGCTAAACCTAAAGTTAGTGTGCTCTGGGTTCTGTACTGACATGTACTGTTGGCTAACTTTGCACTATAAGCTGAGCGAACACTGTGCTAAATAACCACGCTAATTGCAGCAGTTAAAAGGTCCAACCTGTGTGGAAATCTGGTATTTTTAAGTCGCCTCTTTCGTCCAAGTCTTTTAGATACTGCAATACGAGAGTTTCTTCCTCCTGTGCCGTTGGCGCTTCTTCTAAATCTAAGTCCAGCTGACTCTGGATGGGAAACAGAGTAGCGAGGCTGCACTGGGACGCCATGTTTCCTACAACAACAATTCCGCCAGTTAGGTAAATGCACAACGGAGATTCTATAACAGTCGCACTGGTATACTGAATAGATGATAAGGGAGTTATTTCGTAATTAAAAAAAAACATGTTAACAGGAAATTTCAACATAATTAAACACAGTATTATTTTACTACTTTATCTCGTCTTCTGTATTGTACGTGATTTTTCCGTAGTGTGTGGAAACTGCCGTTATGTGCCTATTGTTGTTTTTACTCAATTTAATGACGCGCTCTGGCGGTAGTATACCGCCGGGTTCTAACATGCCTTTATAGAAGTACTTGATATTTCCCCAAGGCATTCAGCGTATATTTATCAATAATCAAGAGATTTGACCACTTTATTTGTGCATATCTTATACACGGAGCCAACAGCCTTTAAGTTACAAGAAGGATCGTTGTCTTGGACCCCAGGGATGTTATTAACCATCGACTGCAGTGTAATAACAGAGGTGCTAAGGATAATTTTGAGTCTAACCAAGGAGATTTCTCTAAATGTCACAAAAAGACGACCCTGAAGATGGTATCTGGCAGTATAAATCTGTGGTTAAGAGGAAGAAGACACAGACACAATCGTCTGCAGTTGGAACTGTCACGAAAAGAAGATGCAATTCTCAAAAACCCTCCAGAAGAGACTCTGCAGCATCTACCAAGACAAAAACAGACAAAACAAAAGGGACAAACGTGACAAATGCTGAACGAAATGGAGAACCTAAAGTAAATGGTCGCAGCAAATCAATGGCAAATGGTCTTCCTTACTCAGAATCACCATCTTCCTCTCAGGAGACAAACAATAACAGTGATGCTGCAGAGGGACCATGCTGTGGAGACTTCTGTCCTATGTGCCAGATGCCATTTTCTGCCTTGATGGTTCAATCACAGAGATGGCATGTTGCAGAATGTCTTGACATACCAAGGGACAAATGCACAGGTACAGACATTCAAAATCCTCTACATATTTTGTTAACAGACTTTAATTGAGCAGTTTATTTCACAGAAGACTCCTCTACATATTTGTTAACAGACTTGAATTGAGCAGTTTATTTCACAGAAGACTTTAAATACAAAAGTCTTTATTAAACATATTTATAAGCTGATGATTTAAAACATGGAGCAGTAACTTTATTAAACATATTTTTAAGCTGATGATTTAAAACATGGAGCAGACAGATTTTATGGGTTCTTCCAATAAATAACTACCCCTAACCCTAAAAACAATAATAAAAAATAGAATAAAAAAATCATTAACTTCTGTATCTTGGTATCAGTAGTATCACATTATTAAATCCTAAGGTTATTATTTAATTTGTTACTTTGGACTGATTAGCCTGCCTAAGGTTTTGAGGTAAAAAGTTCAATTATTAAGCAGAAACTCAAATGTTAAGAAAATCTATTTAAATATTATAATGAAGTAAAATGAAATATGGGCCTCTACACTCAGTATGGGTTTAAATTAGAATTCCATGCATGACCTTTTTTTTTTTTTTTTACCTAAAGCTAATATTTTTGGAATTTACTTTGTTCATTCATGCAGAATGTCCCGATGGCCTGCGCTGCTCCTCTGCCATCCCAAACCACTACAGGAATTACAACCACACATTCCTAGCCAAAAGCAGAGCCATTGGTGACACAGCTCTTCTCAGTCTGTATCAGCAAGCTGAGACCACAGGGGAGTCAAGCTCCAGTTGTCTTCCTGGGCTGAATAATAAGAATAATAATAATAAGGCCAGTGACTCACAGACATCACAGGACAGCACTGTCAGTTCCGAGGTCATTTCTCCTTGCAGTGACATCACCGAAACCCCTCCGTCGAAACATAAAAATGGACTTTTGTTTTTGCGTTCACCTGGTCCAGAAGACTTAAGGAAAAAGAAAGGCTGGTCATCCACACCTAAAGGCCGCAAATCTTTAGGTTCTTCCCAAGAGAGTAATAATGAGCAATCCTCCGCTGCAGTGAAGGACAACAAAGTAGAACAAACAGCTGAAAGTGGCAGCAAGCCTTTGTCTGAAAACGACGATTTTATATCCTACTCACCTTTATCTGACTTACCTGCACAGACTGAAGTTCGTAGCAGTGAGTGTAAAAAGAAACTTTTCAAAGACTGTGTGCTGGACGTTGAGGATGAATGTTCAATGTCACAGGTAAATTATAGCTTTTCAAGCGAAGATGAGCTGCTAAATGAATTTATGGATAGTATGGACGCCAGTAATGTGTCAACAGAAATCCTGTCATCTAACCTCCAGCTGGACTCACTTACCTCATCAGCTCCCACTGATCAACTGGCTGCCACTCAACTCCAACCAGATTTAGCTGTCGCTGAGGCTTGTACGACTAGCAGTCAGTCCCCCCGGAGTCTTGTTCTAGAACATCTGCGAGAACGTCCTCAAACTCACACAAACTCTCAAGTGCCTCCATCCCAAAACCAAACCACCCCAAGATCCTCAATAATGACACCACAAAAGGGTAAGAGCAGAGGTGTTCAGGCTTCCTCTTTGAAACAGACTGATATCGGAGTGTTTTTTGGCCTGAAACCACTGAATAAGAAGCAGGAGAACAGACCACAAGAGCCAGGCACCAGCTCACCTGCAGTGCTTGGAAAAAACAAGGAACCCAGGCGACCTAGGAGAGGGGAGACAGAGAGTCAGAGGAAGAATAGGAAAGACACATCCGCAGATACCTCCGAAGGAACAGCCGCAGCAGAGAAGACGGATTCAGTAAATGCTGAAAGAGGAGCAAAGAGTGGATGGCGCCAAAAATGGGGGAGGAGGAACAGAGTCAACGCTGATGGAGAAGTCCAGTTACCTCGCTGTCCTTTCTACAAGAAGATTCCAGGTGGGTTTTTCTCTACATTTGTCTCAGTTTAGTTGTAATTTGTTTTTGTGTTACTGAAAAAGTGAATCCATAAAATGTCTCTTCAGGAACAAAGTTTGTCATTGATGCCTTCCAGTACGGGAAGATTGAGGGCATCACTGCCTACTTCCTAACACATTTCCACTCAGACCACTATGGAGGGTTGATGAAGAACTCCACCTTTCCAATCTACTGTAACAAAGTGAGTCATTCGTTCAGTGCTGTAACATTGCTTAGATTTTTTTATTTTAAAGATTATTTCAAAGGAGACGTTTTACAAATAAATATTTTTTTAGCCGACGTGTTTTGTTCCGTTTGCTTAATGCAGTCTCCATTTTCGGACAGTCTCCTCAAGTCTGTCAATAATGTACAGTAAAAGAGATGGTGCCACAAAAAACAACTGTCCTTTGGACTATCCTACTTATTTGCATCTCACTTAAAAGCTTTTCATCTTCACTTAACCACAAAATTATAAAGTAAATGCGTGCTTCATTTGTTTTCTCTCTCTCTCTCTCTCTCTCTCTCCATGTTGGTGACTGAGTGTAAGGCAATTTCACTCACAGTTGACAGCCGTGAATACCAACGTGCTCGAAAATCTGCTCGAAAAAATAACTTGAGTTGAATGTAAATTTCAGTGTATTTTGAGACACATGCAAAAACATTCGCTGTATGTAAATTGTGAGCACTGTCACCACACACATTTACATGAGTCTTTTTACGTTGCATCAATGCCATTTGCATCTTATGTGTATAATAAACAAAATATATGTCAAGCTACAGTCACGGTAGATTAAATGCGGTAGATTAAATAATAAGGATCTGTTTCATTTTTTAAAAACAAAATATATATTTTTATTCATATGTTTTACTTTGTCACTCTGACTAACCGTCACATATGTCGGTCAGATTACAGGAAACTTGGTGAAAGCCAAACTTAAGGTGGCGGAGCAGTATGTCCATGTTCTCCCCATGAACACACTGGTGACTGTGGAGGGGATCAAGGTCATTCTCCTGGACGCCAACCAGTGAGTCACACACATTCACCTGGTGTTAGCCATGCAGATTGTGTAGCAATCTTAAATGTTCATTTTTCTACCTTAGAAAATGTGGGACCTCAGCTTTGGCCACATTTAGCTCATTTAAACTTTCCCGGAGTTTGACAGTTCCATGTCAAACCTATTTGTTGTGATCAATCTGTCAAACTAATCTGTGTTTGTGATCTCAGTTGTCCAGGAGCTGCCATGCTACTCTTCCTCCTGCCTGATGGACAAACCGTCCTCCACACCGGTGACTTCAGAGCAGATCCCTCAATGGAAACGTATCCTGAGCTCCTCGGTTGCAGAGTGCAGACGCTCTACCTGGACACCACGTCAGTTACCTCAAACACAGTTCCTTTGTGATATTTAATCTTCCCATAATTTATTTATTTGGCAACTAACAAAAAAGCATTTCCTAAAATTGACTCTAAAAAACCCATTTTTCTTGTAGTTACTGCAAGCCCGAGTACGCCTTCCCCAGACAACGAGAAGTCATCAACTTTGCTGCAAACACGGCGTTTGAGTTGGTGACACTGAATCCACGCACACTCGTTGTGTGTGGATCCTACTCTGTGGGAAAGGAGAAGGTCTTTTTAGGTAAGTGTTTGAAATGGACTGCGGGTCCGTCCTTCAGAACCACCTTAGTCCCCAACACCTCTTTGTCCGACAGACGCGACCTTTGTTAAATGTTTGTTTTTGCTTTCGCTGTTGTCCTCGCATCCGTGCAATCAGTCGGCCGGTGACGCACATGGATAATGTGCACTCCACTTTGTCATATTAAAAGAAATAAAAATAAATCATGTCCGAACTGGGTGAAAAACAAAGTATTATTTTGCAATCAACTTTGCTTCCACCTGCCCTGAATCAAATGGAACAGCAACAGCTGCTGTTTGTCTGTAGACCTGTGATTAAAGAGTTTATTCTGTTAAATCACAGTGAGTATTTTTACTCCTAAAATGGACAATCGGTCTCCAAGGTTGATTTTTACGGACAGTTGTTAAATCACTGTGGGCTTTCGGCTGTTTAATATCCTTCACCAAAATAGAATAAAATCAATCAGCCAAGATGAGGTTTTCGAATTTATCTGGTGGGCCGGCTAGGTATTGGTTGGATGTTGAAATGATATAAATAAAATGTACTTAAGATTGAACCTAAGACTTCAAAGAAAATTTGGCACATTTGATGTCTGCCACTACTCATCAGTCTTTAACCATATCCACAGTAGTGGAAGGCCGGATTAGAAAGCCCTGAAGGCAGTAACTGGCTCATGGGCCACAGTTTGCCCATGTCTGATCACGGAGCATAGCAACGTCAGTTTTGAAAATTGCATAAAATGGTTACACACAAAAAACAATTCTCTAATTTAAAAACACAATGAATAACGATAAATATTCCTGATTTTCCCACATTATCCCTAATGTTCCGTGTCACTTCTGCCACAGCGCTGGCAGACGTCCTGGGCTCTAAAGTTTGTCTCTCCAGAGACAAATACAACACCATGTGCTGTCTGGAGTCAGACGTTGTGAAACGTTGCATAACCACCGATTGGAAGGCCGCCCAGGTGCACGTGCTACCCATGATGCAGCTCTCCTTCAACGTGAGTGCAAACATTTCTCATTTTTAAAATCTGCAAAACAGTGATTACCCTGAGACTGTGGCCTCGGGAGAAAAAGACGGGTTCTACATGAGGGGCGACAGAATCCATTTGCAGCAGTTAAGTTATAAAAACACAGCATATGAAAACATTAGGCTCTTGTCCCTCGGGCACTTTCTGTTTATGCATGGCATATGAGTGCCTGTGCTCAATGATAAACACAGTGAGATGAGTTTAACCATTTTACAGAGGCACAGAGTGGCTGTCGGAAATATTTCTTTTTACATGATATCACAATGAACTGGTTTTTGCTTCTGAAGCATGTCTTCACTAGTGTGGATTTCAAAATGTAAACACGTATGTTGTTATAGTTGTTGTCAATGACCTTGTCGCTCTGACCGTGTCTTCAGAAACTGCAGCATCATTTGGCTCGGTTCTCAAAGCAGTACGATCGGCTGGTGGCCTTCAAACCCACAGGCTGGACCTTCAGTCAGCAGGTGGAGACGGTGGAAGACATCCAGCCTGTGGTCAGCGGTAACATTTCCATCTATGGTGAGCATTTATTTTCCTACTAATAATCTGCTGGACAAAAGGAATAATACAGTGCTTTTGTGCACCAAACCTGACCAGCAGCTTCACCATCATTCAGCTGTGCACAGAGCTCCCTCTACTGGAACATTAAGGCACAATTTTACAGAGTTGTGGTAGAAATTAATTGGATTTGCTCAGAATTTTGTTGTTCTAAAAACTAAAAAAAGTCTCACAGTACACTCTATAAAGTAGAGCCGGCTGTATTAAAAAGTCGTTTTAGGAGTTCGGAGCCAGTCAGACGGTTTTGACATCTGCTAAAGATTCTTCTTCAGAACCTGGCCTACGGGTCACTCTGTAGAACATATGCTCTCCCTGAAACCGATGCCTGTTTTTTGGGAAACTGGCTTCCTCATACTTCAAATGTCACGTGCAGAAACTGAGGCGATGCCTCGTAATAAAGACACGCGGAAGGAAAATAGTAAAACAGAAGAGCATCTCAGATGTTCCTCTGGTTCAGTTCTAAACCAGTGCTGGGCTAACAAAACAACACTTAATAATCCATCAGTTTGCCTTACCTAACTGGCCTCCAAGTCATTCAGACGATGGCTGATTGATTTATTATTATGTTATTATGATAATGGCACCTCATCTTTTCTACTTTTTTTTTTCTGGACAGGAGTTCCCTACAGTGAGCACAGCAGTTTTCTGGAGTTGAAACGTTTTGTCCAGTGGCTTCAGCCGCTGAAGATCATTCCTACAGTGAACAATGGCAGCTGGGAAAACAGGAGCACTATGGAGAAGTACTTCAGGGATTGGCTGGCTGAAGCTAAAGCTAACACTTAGCTTTCCTGCCAGAAGATAAAGACTTGTGTGGGATTTGGGTGAAATTTACTGTTACTGATTTGCACACAGCTAAAAATGAAATACTATTAATCTAAAAATGCTAGCAACGGCAAACAAATACACTTAAGTATATTATACAGTATGTGTCTTGTCAATTTTATAAATGTGTTATTCTGACTGTATATATGAATGAAAATGAAGCAATACATTTGTTAATTTTATTTTGTGCTGTGTTTTTAATCAATTTTAAATAGAATAAAAATTAATTAAAATATTTGTATTTTTTTTTTTTTTTCAGTTACTGTACATTCCAGGCGACCCCTACTGCCACACTTTTTTAGGATCTTAAGGTCATTCAGGGTCGTGGTAGGTGACTGTAGCAAATTGTAGTTTGTTAGAAGACATTCCAGAGAGGATGAAATGGTGGAAACATCTAATCACATGGATGAGACCAACTTCTCTTCTTTATTCCTACGTAGCTTTTAAGAAACGGACAGGGCTGCTTAGTTGTAAACTGGATGCAAAGTGAAGCCGTTTCAGATGTGTTAAGGAATGAGGCTATTTCTGATGTCACTTATAATGTCAAACATTTCCCTGTTTGCTCAGTCCAGCCGGTGCTGATGTCTGCTGTCTTTTTATTACTATGTAAACGCTGTAAAGTTATGTACAGCGTCATCTACTTGATAAGATCTATAAAGCGATTAAGATAATCTTTGGGACATATTTAAATAAAGATGTCCAATGCCAGCTTCCTCCTTTCATCTTACAATTAAAATAGCTATTTCAGCATGAATGCTATTTAGACTAATATGAGAGTTTGGGAAAAATAAAAAACATTACTCCATATGAAACCATATCAGTATTTATCAGTGTTTTTTTTTTAATATACCCATAACCCTGTGATTGGGGACCTCGGTCTTAAGAGGCTAGCTGGTTTTTCTGTCATCTTAGTGACTAAACCCATGTCACTAACAAAATAACAAGAGCGAAATCTGTTCATACATTAAGGGTTAGGAATGTTAGGAATCACATTCAGATCATGTTGTTTTGAGATCCTGGAGAAACAGCTCTTTTTTTAGGTCATGTGATACAGAAGAACTAACAGTGCGTTAGATCTTTTATTCACAGTGTGTTGTATTATACAGCTGTTGGAATAATAATGTGTTTAAGTTGCACTGTACAAATGTGATAAAGTGAGGAACTGAGGAAAGAGTTAACACGAAGGAAACATTTTTTTTTTTTTTTACAAATTAACACTGATTTAAGATAAAACTTGATATGTTATATGTCAACACGCAATAACAAAATGTAACGTTCCAACAAAATTCATCTCTAGATATTTGCATACGCTGAGGTACTGTTACCTGCCAAAAATGCATACTATTAATGGTTATTCACATTATATTACAAATTCATACCGTATGTGTATTGGCATGTTTTTGCTAAAGGGACAACAAAATTAAACAGAAAAAAAAAACATTAGATAAGAAGACCTAGCACATGTTACATTAAACATACTGAGTCGTCTTCACTTCTTTTTTTGTTGGCCTAAACCTAATGATAGGGTATACACATGCAACCTTAACCTTAACTACTAGGTAGGAGCTCACATATTTTCCAGTCTTCTATAAATGCAACAAATCATCTTTGGTGACTGCGCAGCTTCAAAACATTTTCTACTATTTTTAGTGCAGCAATCCAACATCCAAAGACACGTCTCAAAATGTAATTTACCAGCAAATCCAAAGATATTCAGAGGCTCGAAGGAAGCACCTATCTGTCAGTCCTCTCTTCCTGTACGTCACTGCACAGATGGTTGGGTGAATGCAGCGGCACACACCCCGGTCGACGCAGGATGGTGAGTTTCACCTGAGGACACAGAGGGTCTCTTCAATCAGTGATTCCCAAACACTGTGCTGTGCCACGTTAGTGTGTCATGACAGACTCTTACTGTAGGGACTGTATAACGTGGAAAATACCACTTCATTGTTCAAAACCTGTTATTATTTAATTAGTGCAAATACTTTGTAGTCATTTGTCTGCAGCAGTGACAGACAGAACGGTTGAATACATTCAATCATTAGAAGGGAGCAGATGGCCATAAAAACTTAGAAAAAGAGAAGTACTTCAGGGATTGGCTGGCTAAAGCTAAAGCTAACAATTAGCTTTTCTGCCAGAAGATAAAGACTTGTGTGGGATTTGGGTGTAATTCTATTACTGTTACTGATTTGTACGTGTCTAAAAACTAAAGACTGTTAATCTAAAAATGTAAACATATACACTACTGTATATATATTTAACTATATTTAAAATCTTGGTGTCTTTCTTCAATTCCTGTGAGGTTATCATTGTTAAACAGGCCCCACTTTCACACTTTACATTCAGTAAATTGTGAATATATTGTAACTAAAAGATCATTATAATACATAACATGTACTTTTTTGTGACATTTTCATTTGTTGGTGCACAGTAGTTTTTTTTAATGTGAAATATATATGCCATTTCTCAGGTTCGGAAACCTTGTCTTAGATATGGCACTGTGTTACTGCGTTTGCAGTGACTGCACAAGCTAAAGATTGTACCTCGTTCTTGAGCGACTTGCTGATGTACGTGTTGAACTCCTTCACGTTTGTAATGTGCAAATCGTTAAGTCCCACTATTCGATCCCCTTTGTGGAACAGGCATACTGTGTGTGGTTGGCCTGTCCATGCTGACACTCTGCAAAAGATAGAAAAAAATGTATTCAAAGCTAATTCCAAAATTTGACAATTTCATTTTTTCATTTTTACTGAGGAATCACTCACGTAGCTTTCCCATCCACATCAATCAGTGTCAGGTGTTTTTTCAAATCCGCCTGGTTGACTTCAATATCTCTTTCTTCTGGAGGGATGTGCTCAAGGCTGGATAGAAAAAAGAGTGCCCTGCTAAAGCTATTGTATCTGTTGGCAATACTATACAAAATATGAAATAAATACAATTTCATAAAAGATTATACTAAATTATTTGGAGAGGGCAGAAGATCTTTCACAAGGAAACGTTGTAGCTTGTGCCAGAAGGTCATATAAAGGAAAATCACAATAACATAGTGAACATGACATGATATAGTTACACGAGATGGAAATGTTTCTGGTCATTTCTGGCATTACTGGTACAATTTTAATTAAGATAAACGTAATTAATTTGTTAATAGTGTTACCTATAACTTATGCAGTCTTATGTATCTCAGACAGTGCATATTCATATATATACACATACATTTATATACACATGTATATATGTAATTATAGCCATACGTATATATATGTTTGTGTGTGTCTTTGGTCTAAAAGACTCTAAACAAACAATCGTAGCAGATCTCACTACTCTCTCATTAACCTTTGTTTACACTTTTGCTTGTTTTTTTCCATACAAACTACCCTAACCAGTAATACCACATGTTCTCGGCCATTCCATTCAGATTGTTAAAAAAAATTACATTTGTAGTTTGGCGGTTGAACAAACAGTGATACATGACAGCTTACAGTATGTGATTTCCCAGAGCAAGTGTTGTTTCTTTCCATGCCTCATTTACAAAAAAAACAAAAACAAACCACATCACGCCATTTCTTCTCAATGCATTTTTCTGGTTATAGACCTTGTAATTTGAGCAATTGTCTACTCCATAGACAAATAACAACCGCCTCCCCTCCAACAGCTCCAACACCTCATCTACCTCCACCAAAAATGTTTACAGACACTCGTCACTTTAAAATTTCTTTTGCACAAATGCACAATTTTAATATTAATGATTAATGATGTGGCACTTTGGCCCAGAGGCAATGTCTCTGTCATTGGTGTGGAACTCCAGGGTTCACCTCCTGGGCAAGATCCAATCCCAGTTAGGGTGGTTGGTACCTTCCAGTGGACTCACCACCTGCAGGAAGGTTCAGGGGGGTTGGTGCGGTGCAGTGTGATTTGGGTGGAGACTACTGCCTCCACCACCCGGTAACGGATAAGCGGATGAAAATGGATGGATGATTAGTGATTTTTTTTCTCTCCTGTTGTTGTGCATAGTGGCTCTGTGGCCCCACGATTTCGTTGTACCCCTGTGTTACAACAATTCTATTCTATTCTACATCCATCTGACAAACAATCTCACCTCTCAGTAGAGCTTTGATTTTCCAGCGTTAAAGAGCGCTCTTGACCCTCCACAGGTGAGATGGCCCCAGTGTCGCTGGAGCTGCTGCTGTCCAAAGGATTGGCTTCTTCTCTGTAAAGAGAAGCAACAGCATTAGACACAGTTACTGTGAATTCAAAGAAGCAAAAATCACATTTAGTTTTATAACTAAAATTATTTTTCTGCATAGATAAGACAACAGATGTCCTTGTGGTTTTTTCAGTTTGTTGAAGCAGCATGGGAGATATGTGTCTAATTATTGTGCACACTCAAGAGGAACTCTAATTAAAAGGCACTAAAGAAACAAGTTCTTTGCATATACCCAGACATTAGCCAGACACCCATAATTTGGCATCACTGCTAAATTAGCGTTTAGCACCTATAGAGCCTTTGAGCTCGGATTTGGAGAGCTGCATCTGTCTGCTACAGCTGCGAATCACATTAAGACTGAATGACCTACATCAGCAATGTTATGTTTGCGTGTGTGTGTTGTTGTCTGTAGTTCTCAAAACAGGTGTTGCCACTCTTCGAATGTTAAAAAATAAATTTAACAAAAAATATAATAAGTCCTGAAATCTCAAGATTTGTTTGTTTTTGATTGATTAACAGCTTCAATCACTGAAGGTGATCTGTGCCACTCAATCAGGTTCAACCGGTGGTTTGTTTGTCTTCATGTTTGGTTGCAGTTGGCATCTCTAACTGCATCTATGTTTATGGATGCCAGTTCAAGCTTCAAAACAAGCTCTGAGTCTCTCTCTCTCTCTCTCTCTGTCTCTCTCTCTCTTACACACACAAATAGTTCAAGTTAAACTCAAATCCTTTCTTTCACCATGGTGCATGTAGGATCTAATCAGCCTGCTATTTTGGAATCCAGGACAGACGAAACTTGTTTTCAGAATCACTGAAAGCTTTGACACAACAGAAAAGGTGCAAAGATTATAATACACACAAACAAAAATGTCACTGAGAATGAAAACAGAGAGAGAGAGAGAGAGAGAGAGAGGCGGGGCTATGTAATAATCCGGGTCATACCTGTCTCCAGCACCTGTTTCTTCGCCGGATGGCTTTTGTAAATCCTGGATCTTCCATTTGTCAAACTCCAGATTGATAGTTCTCATCAGAGTTCCATTGGAGACCGCCTCAACTTCAGGTTTCCTAAAATCATTGGATAATGTATATATAACAAAAAAAAAAAAAAAAATCAGAAAGATGGTTTAAATGCTACTCCATTAGATTAACGATTAAAGAAAAAACATACACTGCTGGAAAAACATGTTCATTCTGAGAAAATCTATCCATTGTTTCATATCTGTGAAAGACAAATCGGCTCAGATCAATAGAGTGCAAGTCGAGGAAACAACAACAACAAAACAAAAAAACACACTCACAATGACTCAGACTTTTTGCCACGGGTTGCATCAGTTTCTTCATTCTTAAAAAAAAACAAAAAATGAAACAGTAGAGAATTAAGACAGAAAGACCCGACAAATACATGACTGTGATGAAGATCAAAAGAAACATTTGGGTTAATTATGTAAGCAGTTCATCGACAATGAGGTCATCAGACAATTATCATTACAGTCATAACATTGGGAGTTCGCCAGTCTATTTCAGGAGCCACACAAATAGACAGCAGCCCTAGAAGCCCCAGCATATCAGCACTTTGGATTTAATTTAGCCATTAGATTCAAAAAGTGGGAGATTTCATGATATTTCTGCACCATTTTCTAATACGTAATCAGTCAAAACTGTGCTTGTCTGATTCAGTGAAAACAATGACTAACTGCGTCCTTACTTGAATGACTCTCAGGTAGGATGAAGGATAGTCATAGATTGGTTCTGAGGTAGGTCTTTTTGTGTCTTCACCCTGACAGCCAAACAGAAGTATGATGGTTAGCTTTAAAAATCCAATACATTTAATGATGTACTATAACTGTAGTGCACCTACCTCGCATCTTTCAGTGATCTGTTGAAGAGAGTTTGGGGAAGGGGCGGACTTTGAACGTATTTTGGGTGGAGACTGGGAGTAGAAACAAACAAAGACTTAGGTGCAAGTGAGAAGTTTACTAAACGTTAAGTGAACTGTGGGAAACTGAGGATGCGTCTGATAATAATTCATGACATTGATATTTGCATCTGTACAATTTGGAAACATATGCAAACATAATTTTTTGATGCGTATATGTCAAGTCGTTAGGGTTCGGAGAGAACACAAATCTCATCCCAAAACTGGCTCATCTTGTCTTCATCTACAGTGTTATTTAATCTAAACATCTGTCTTTACACATGCTTTTTCTTGTCCTGTAATACTACAGCTGGTCTAAATTGTCCTTATCTGCCTTGTCTTTTCTGTTCTCACACACCTTGGCTTTTTCTCTAGGGTTCTGTTCTGCCTGGTCTGCTCCTGACCTACACTGTTCTACCATGTCTCCTGCTGTCATTAAAATCCACTCGACAGAGAGGAAGCTGTGATTGGCTAATAAGCATTTTCATTTACACAGGTTACAACACTTTGATCAGGATTGGTGGATATGGATGGCGGCCAACCTTTTCATACACAGCGGTTGAATTTTTTCTCTGCGTTGAGGGCCTTGTAATGACCTGATACAACAGAGAAAAAAACAGATTTCACAAAAAAGAGAAATGATGGACCAAGAAATGAGTCCTTGAGAACCTGGATTCATCAAGAACACTTGATGAGTGTGTGTGTGAGTGTGAAAACAAGAAGTAAGAAAGCACGATGAAAAATAATGTGAAAGGAATGATATGAGTTTAAGTTTACCTCTATTATTTGCTGTCCATTGTACACTTCCTGTAGGTTGCAGAACAAAATTTGAAGAGATTGTGATCAATAAAAAATATAAATATCTCAATCTAATTCAGTTGTTACAGACAAATACGTATCTGGCATACCTCAGAGCTCAATAATTTATGTGGTCGTTTTTTCAGGGCTTCGAACAGGTCAGAGAACCAACCATCCACCTCTTCACTGGAAAAAAGAATAAAACAATAAAATGAAAACAGTACATTTTTTAACAAATCATGGCTATTATATAAAATCATTTAAAGTTCTATTATGGTATCAAACAGAGCAGAGGGCTGAGCCAATTTTGTCACAAATCAGAATATGTCAATGTTGGTTATCCAATTATGTATTTAAATCTTTGAACATTTTTCCTGGTGTGAAAACGATGGCATTTCATATTGGACTTTTTAAAGAAGTCACCTGCCCTGTATCACAGTGCTTGGCACAATAGCTGATAAAGCAACAAATAAATTCCATCTCTTAGCAAGAGGCAGACCTGCTCTCTCCAACGAGGAAGTAGTCCCGGTCTGCAGCCCTGATGTAGAGCACACAGGAGGGAGAGCACCTGAAACTTTTTTGGATCCAACCCCATCTCTGGTGGTGCTCAGGGCTCACATACATAAATGAGACACTAGAGCGAGCGAGAGAGAGAGAGAGAGAGAGAGAGAGAGAATGTTGAATATGAGTTTTAAAAATCAAATATCTGCAAATTAAAAAAGAATTGTATTTGTGTGATTACATGCTGTACCTTGCCAGGTCTATTCCTCCGATTGGTCTGTCCTTTTCCTGTTCACTCTTAAAGTACTTCAGCAGGTGAAGGTTATCATTGACTTTGAACAGAACAAAGAACCTCTTCTTCCATGATCTCTGCAGACAAATGATGAAAAATGTAATGTTGACATGAGCACACATTAAAACAACCAATGTGTTTTGGCCAAGATGTTTTTCTGTTACCTCTTTTCTCAGGTGGTTTGCAGGAGGAGACTTGTACAGGTACCCTGATCTGACCTCCAACTGACCGTCCACCGGTTTGTAGAACACTGCATTAGTGCCTGAGTGAATGAAATATAAAAGCCTATTGTGTCATAAACATGGCTTTACCCTCTGTAATTTCAGCACGACATAAAAAAAACTGAAAAAAGATCCTTGACCCCAGAGCAGCTGTCTCCTCTCATCCCCTTGTGTCATCACAACAACACACTCAAATAACCAAATTCATACACTACCTGTGTTCCTCTGGGACTTATGCATGGTGACAGCAAGCCTAAAGAAAGAGATGGGTATAAATCAATGTGAAGTAGACCCAGTGTCATTAAGGCTGAAGAGGAAATAGGGTTGTCTTGTTGTTATATAGTATGGATGTGAAGTAAAACTGAACATAAATGAATATGAAACAAAAGCGTAAAGGCAAAAACGCTTATGCTCACCTGGGTGCATGTGTTCCTGGACTCCCCTCCACTGATTTCAGCTACATCTGCTGCTGCAGGAGGAAGTTGCGCTCTTTTTGCATCTGCAAATGACAACTTGGTGATTATACTAAGAACTGGACTTACTGGTTTTTCTTACCTTGGCTTTTGAAAGGCCTTCCTGCAGGTTCAATAATCCCCTCCGGGGAAAAACACCACATGAAACGATAGATTAAAGCATATGGTTTTCATATCACTGTTGTCTAAACAGTTTGTCTGTTTGATATTACAAGTGAAATAATATGAGCATGCACAGAAGTAGAAGCCAATCCCAGCGAGGGTGGTGTACAGCCTGGACAGTCCATCAGTCCATCACAGGGCCACAAATACTGTAGAAACTAACACCATTATAATCAACCTTATCCAACCAACATATTCCTCTATTAAGTTTTTGGGCTGTAGAGAAAGACAAAGTACCCAGAGAGAACCCAGACAGGAAGACCTTACAAACTCCACACAGAAAGATCAACCGTGTGGCCTTGGTCTGCAGGTAATAATGAAATCATTTTCTTTTTTGGACACTAAAACAGGAAAATAGTAGAAAATACCATTTCATGAAAGAGTGGGTTTGAAAACCCACACAAAAGAGAGTAATAGGTATTTCTATTGTCAGTGATAAAAGGTCAAGCAGATGAAGGTAAAAAAAATGAAATGAACAAAACCAAGCCCACTTTCTGTTAGACGGGGATTACCATTGAGGAAAATGACTGCACAGACAATAACACCACATTTAATTGATCATTACTTCCTTGTTGTTGGTAAAGTAGTTTCGGTGAACTCCTTACTAAAGCCAAAAAGGCTATAAAGATTTCATAATAATGAAAAATAAATAAATCGCAGCTCATTACATTAAAAGGTCCGTGGACAAATTCAGTTCCAGCTTTCAGCTCAGACATTATCTGCTTCCGAAAGGATACATCGTGAGAACATGGATTCAATCAGTTTTCTTTGTTTGAGGAAGTGAAATGTCTGGAAAACAACAACGGGGAAAAATGAGGTAAAGAATTTTCTCATTTGAAGTGATGATATGACGAGGTGAAACTCAGATACTCAGATACTAGAAGCAGCCATAATCAGTGATTCACAGATTATACAATGTGTGAGATAAAAATGTAATGGTGGTTTGAAATGGGTTTTTTTTAAGTGGGATTTTTCCACATAATAGAATGTGAAAATAAATATTTCCTTTGTAAATCAAAAGCTGACACTTTATTTACTAAATAAACGCAGAATGAATATGTATGTTCAAGTCATTTGAACATGATGGAACATGCTGACTTTAGAAGAAAGACTGTTACATTTCTGTTTTTTCCGGAAGTGTGGGTGTTTGGGGACGCATTGATACAGAACCGGTTGGTGGGGCGCAGCTAAAAAAAAGTTTGGGAACCACTGATCTAAATTACATCACATTTTCACCTCCGTGTGAGTCAGAGATTTCACAGAAAAAAAAAGTGAAATGTGCTTAGGGGTCGTCTGGAATTCAAATGGGGTCACCTAAAATGTCTAGAGATAAAAATATTTTTTTAACTAACTATTATTCTATTTTCATTTTCAAACTATAATACCAAAAGCACAATCTTAAACAATGGTATTCTTATACTTTTACAAATGGCTTATACAGTGGCTGCTTTTTCATAATTCACTGTCTGAGACATTGTTTTTTTTCCTGCCTTGTTACCTCTGGTTACTCTGTATTAGCAACACATCATCAACAAACATCATCAAACACTAATTCTAGGGAAAAGTGTGCCTCCCACACTGGGAACCACCTTCAGAAAGACACTTGAAGAAAGATTTTTCTAGCAGTACATGTACACCTTCCTGCACCGAGATGGATAAAGATCTTTGATTTTCTAAACCATGATAAGCAGAAGCAGCTTATCTGTATTCAGCATGAGTATTCAGAGAAAAGCTTTGAGAAATTTGTGACTGAGGTAAAAAGGTAAAGCTGTCTCCACTATAAAACCACTTCAGCTAGTTAGTACGTTAAAAGCGAGATTCACAAAGATGACTTACAGCTTAAACTTACGCAGTAAAGTCTTTAATACAACAAAATATACATCCGCAATTGAACAAGAACTTGCCCGAAATAAAGCTAAATCATGGGCCAGATTCAAATTTCAATGTTTCAAATCAATATTTTTTTTAAATTTATTTTTTAAAAATATATCCTTGAGGATTTCAGCATTACCGGAAATAATAAGCACAGGTTTGAGTCGAGGAAATAACAACAGCTGTGATGATGTCATCGTGTAAACCCAGGCACATGAATTGGATTTTTAAAAAAAATAAATTCTGAAAAGGTAAAGGTGAATGAACGTCACTGTGTGCCCTGTGAATGAGGTTGGTGTACAGTAATAGCTGCCTCTTTGACTGACTGGATGATGGGACATGGAGTTATTACAATGTGAAAACTGATAATGACCAACACCAAATGCCTTGTTTATATCAATACATGTTGATTAAAATGTTAACAGTTTTACCACCACCACATTTCTCAAGAAAATGTAAAAGTGCAAAGCACTGAAATTGCATTTTAAAATTTCAAAAGCAAACCCTCAAAATCAAAATATAGAAATTACTTGGTATCAGCTACTACGGTGTGGAGTGTATTCTGACAAATACCAGCACTAACACACATGATGATATGTGGCTTTCAATCCTTAGTCTAACTTTGCAGTAATAAAAAATGACCTGTGGTCTGTATTTAACTACATTGTGAGAATAATTTAAATTAATGTCCAATTTAAATGGAATGAACAGGAAACTCGATGCCTTTTGTGAGAAGTATGAGGTTTGTATGTACTCAAGCTTCCCAGACCTGAAAAAGAAGCCAATCTGCATATGGAAACCTTATACAGGTTCTTAATTAATCACAACACAGCAAATGTCAAAGCCGTTCTGTCGCAACAAGTCTGACACTAGTCAGCATTAACATTTACCCCACTTTGTGGGACACTGAAGTTCCTGAGTATGCCAGCATCCTGCTGCTGCTGCGTTGAGTGTACTTTAAAAACCTGACACTAAACCCCTGTGGCAGAAGCGTCTTCGAGGTTCTGCTAAGAAGTCAAAAAAAAAAAAAAAAAAAAAAAGTCAGTCAAAACAGAAAGCAGCTCTCTGTTTTGACATTAATTTGAGCCAGCTAAAAAAAAAAAAAAAAAAAAAAAAAAAAAAAACAACAGAAAGAAATGTCATGCATTTTCCAGGAAGGCATATTCTTCAAGTCTATCATTACAATCTCAGATTTGTTAACCAGCTTCTCAGGGGATTTTTGGTGCATCTGTAAAAGTGGGCATTAACTTTAAATGCTCGGTGTTTTAAAAACAAATTCCTATTAAATACTTTGTTTCCTACAAATTATATCTGTACATTTTATACCTTTACTAGCCTGATCATGTATATAGGGTTCATTTCTTTTTTAAACGTCAGGGATTTTGATGATTGATAGAGTTATTGCTGCAAAAATTCCTGAAAGCATGAAAAGTGGAAGAAAATGTTCCTGCATGATGACACAACATGGATATTTCTGTAACTTGAGTGATAAATGAACACAGATGGCCGCTGTGAATAAAACTGTTGGCTGTTTCAACTTGGTACTTTCAATCTGCGGTGTCCTGCTGGGCCAGATTCTTTCCTTATTGCTTCACCCAACGTGGGCGTGGTCAGTGATACGGCCATGTCAATTGAAATACAGTTCCTTGGTCAACATTGATACAACACAGGGAATCTGCTTCTTCTCAGTGAAGTTCGGATCTTCGGACCAGGACTCAAAGCTTGTCGCTACCATGTAGTTGACCCGTGTCAGGATCTGCATTATCTCCAGCTGCTTGCCAAACTCATTAAGCACGTTGCACAGAGCCTGAACAAACCAGGAGCCACGCCCGGGGTTTCTCCACGAGTAATAGCCTGAAAATATCAACGTAACGATAATTCATGGAAACTGGGTTTTAAAATGTCTTCCGCATTGTACGTTCTTTCACTGATCTGGCAGAAAGGGTGCTTTTACCTGGCACAGTGGAGTAGGCAAACAGGAAGTCTGCCTCCACGGGTATCTTGTGTCTCGGATTAGCATCCGTCTCCAGAGTGTCATTCGGTGGACCTGAATCTGTCTGGATGCCGTCATCAAATTCAGAACCCCGACAAGCCTGGAGAGAAAAAAACAAAACAAAAAAAAAACAAACTCAACCAGGCTGGCATCCACAGATAAAGTGACATCTTGAATTAAATTAGATTGAACTGATTTTTGATTTTGTGACAAATTAAAAAACTGTAAATAAAAATATCAGGGCTGGGTTAAATGTTTTTATACAGTTATACAATAATCACAAATGGCTAATTTAATTGTAAGTAATTGACTAGCTGATGACATCTTTGGGAATACATACCTGGATGAAGAAGAGCTTTGGTTTCCCAACTAAGCTTTTGCACATATCCCCCCTGAACAATGAGGTCATAGTTTTGATAGGCATGGCTGCGTCAGTGCCGTATATCATTCCCTCCTCACCGTGGCTCAGCAGGATACAGGCGAAACATGAGCTGTCACTGTGGTCTTCCTCTGAGGCTGAAACACACAGACAAAACAATACTGAATTCTGCTCTAAATTCAACAATACAGCAGTTATTGTTAGAAAAAAAAAATCTACGACCAGGATTCCTCAAGTAAACAGGGACATTTTTAAAGGACTTTTATTGACACGTAAAATTAATTTAAATGCCAAAAAGTTGTGTGGCTTGACAGACCAATGTATTTTTAAAAAAAATTAAAGTCAAGCAAGTAAAGGCAAAACATATATTCGCCTCAGCAGGCAGCATAAATACCCCATCAATTTCTGACACTTCACAATTTTATTACAACAGCACCATCTGCTGTCTGACCTAGTGTGTTGAGAAGTGTTTATATGTAAACATTGAAAATTCCATGCTATAACTACAACATTTAGCCATGCATTTCATGGAGCAAAACCACTGTTTGTTTTTTTTTACTGATGCAATTAACAAACCAAAAAAATTTAAATTATTATTATTAGTAGTAAATACCTGTTGTCTGTCTCACTATTCAAATAACAATTGACAAATTGCTTGTCTGCACATTGTTTGTCAGTCAGAGGTTCTTTCATGCAACCATGACTCCTAGTAGTTCTCTAGAAATGGTTTTAACAATTGGATTATGATAATACTGTCTGAACCTTGTGATTAAGGACATGTGTCTATTAATTTCTGTTGTAGGAAAAGGGTAATCAAACTGTTTGTCAATCAGTCATTTAAGCTGCAATCACAGTTTCATGGCTTAATTCCAAAAAAGTTGGCAGGAAATCTCTCTTTGTCCTTCCTCACCTTCTCTGAGAAGACGCTCCATGTTTGCACATGTTTGGTCGTTGTAAATAAAGACGTCAAAGCCCAGGTTCTTGAAGCACTTGAACAGCTCGCCTGCGTCTTTGTCCGTGCCGTTACGTACATTCATACCTGTGGTGGGGCGGGAGGGTCAGATTACAAAGACATTTGCTGTTTTTTGTTGTTGTTTTTTTTTCAGGTTAAAAATGACTTAATGACATGTGGGGCAGACGCTTCCTTACCTGTCCTTGCATCAAAGTTTTTGTTGTTGATAATGATGCACTTTCCCACTTGCCGGTGGCTCATTTTATACTGGAATGTTGGTGAAACGATTCTGTAATGGCTTTCAAAAGAGTTCTTCTGCTCCTGCATCTGGCCATCCTTGTTCTTTTTACTGAAGTCAGAGCAAAATTCAAAAGTCAACAGTTCACCTTGAATTATTTGACTTGATGACTTTAAATTATGAAAACAAAATCAATTCAAAGTTCAAATGTTTTCACTTTCAACCACTTGTATTAGCTCACTCAAAGCAAATAAAGGTTTTAGAACATTGTAAAGTATAGATAAATATTTACCACATAACATATACAGTAGTAAATTATTTGCCTAAAAATAATCATCGTGGAAGAAACATAAAAAGGAAATGCTGGACATCAAATTGAAATTATTTTCAATGTTGCTAAAAAATACTATTCTTGAGTCAAAAGTATTTTTAAGAAAATCCTTTTTAAAAAACATTTAATGATTAATCCTACCACATCAGTGTAGAGTGAATCCTGCGTCACAACTCTCACAAACCTGTCAAATTTCCATTCTGTAAAATATCCATGCGGAGAACAAAGGCCACAGTGGCCCAATGAACAATGAACTCACAAAATCTAGGTTTGTTCCAGAACAGCCTCGTCATCAGGTTACTCAAGCGGAGGAACAATATACAGCAATGTGGAGCCACAAAGTAACGTTCTCACACCCAGTGCCAGCAAAGCCGTGTTCCAAAAATCATGTGATCCAGAACATTTTGACAACACCCTCCCACCTCTAAATAGTGTCAACATACTTTACCAAAAAAAAAGTGCATTTTAAAAAAGGCCAGTTTCTCTGTGATGCGCAGTTATAAGGTTGACGCTTACGGGAATAACAGAATAAGAGGATCTCTTACCTGGGTTCGTCATTAAGAACTACGCCACTCTGCATCTGAAATGCGTTGCAACTGTCGTGTCTTTTTCCCCCCCAAAAGAGGATGTTTTTCCATACAAGGCAGCCTAATTTTGGGCTGTTTGCTAGGATACTAACATGCTCTCTGTAGTGGATGGAGACCTGACTGGGCCAGTGTATGTTGAGGACAGGGGTGGAGCACTATCAGCCCCCTGAGTCAGCAGCCTCATCATCGCACCAGTGTTTTCTGAAGACCTATTCATACATGGCCCCTGGAGCCCGCACCCTGTCGGGGTCAAACGGGGCAACAGGTTGGTCCTCTGACAATGACAGACCCTGAATCTGCCTTTTGTTGGCACATACACGTACAGGTCGTGTGGAACCACTTTCAAATATATTAATATTATTATAAATATATATATAAATTATATACTGTATATATAATATATATATTATAAATATTAAATATATTAAGAGCAGCCACAACTGAAAACATAGAGTTTACAAATCTCTTCAAACTAAATTAAACAAATTTATTGTTTTATTTATTTTATAAATAATACAGAATAGGTTTTTTCACAATTGTCTAGTCTTTTATTAAAATCTAATGCCTAAAGACATTACTTATAATACGCTACTAATTGACTGTACCATTTTACACGGATTAAATCAAATTTTACAAATTATAAGTGCTTAAAATATAGTGACAAAGCAGCTCTGTGCTATTGTTTTGGGTTTTTTTTAACATGCAACTAAAGGATTCGTAAAATCTTTTCTAAAAACAATGACCAAAGTTACTAGTACTCTGTGGTCGGAGGTCGAAAGTACAGCTTCAATAAAAAGGAAAAATACTTTCAGTTTGTATCACGTGTGGATAATTTACAGTCTGTTCTATGATTCAGACCTGATAATGTATTTCCTTCGTGTTCTAGAGGATGTCTCGGCCTACGACATTGTACCATGACCTTTGAGTTACTTTGGACTGTGTGCAGTACAAACTGAAACTTAAGGAGCCACTTCAAAACTAATATCTCTTTTGTGTATTTCCAGTAGGTAAATGAAGTACACACAATACAGACGTTGGGTTCCTAGGAAACAATCGCCTCATAGTAACTCAGAACAAAATACAGTTCAACTATATAGGATTAAAGATAGGTGTCCTTGGGTGACAGAAAGGCGCCTATGAAATAAAATGTATTATTATTATTATTAAATGTACTAAACTGAGCTTGTGCTAAGTTTAGTACATTTAGTACAATACCTACTTTACAAATAGATAGATAGATAGCACTTTATTAACCCCACGGGATTTCCCTTCAGGAAATGTAGGGGTAATGGTGTTAAATGTTTACATTTACGTGATTCAAATACGTTAAAATACAATGTTACATAAGAATCCATGCATTGTAATTATAGAAAAGAGGGTCACCTCACCTGCCAAACAGCAGAAATCTCCCTCTTCTATCAGGTCTGGCGTCTGTATCATCTTCTGTCAGCTTTTCCTCAGATGCTTCTTCAGGGGCAGCTTCCGCCGCAAGCACTGAAGCCATCTTCTAAATAAACACACAATAATTTAAAGCTTATTCACTTCGCATTTGCTAAAAAAAAAAGCTGTGGCTACAACAGCTGTGTATCAACGCAATATTAATTATTATTTAACTAAAACACTGACGTATGACGTTGCTAGTTTAACCTGTAGCTAAGCGGTGCTACATTGTTCTTTGGCCGGTTAGCATAAAGTTCAGTAGATCTGACATTATACAACACAAATTGTGAGCTTGAACTTACTCTTTGTTATTGTTCCTGTGTGAACGTTGTGACAGTGCAGTTGTGGTGATATGTGGTCGTTTTTTCCTTCCAATAAAAGTTTGGTCAACTTTCTGTTCCTCAAGAAGTGTTGCGTTGTGAAAATGAAAGGAAGTTCAGTCACGTCGTAACATATGACAATCGGGCACCTCCTTCTCTTCCGCCTCCTCCTTGTCCTTTTACTCGAGCAGGTAAAGGCATAAACGTACGCTTCAGACCTGGAGCTTTAGTCGGGGTTTGGTCAATCATGTAAAAGAAGACAAAAAAATCTATATTTTCTAATATTTCTCCACCGCCTTTAATTAACCACAATTTACAGTAAAGCAACAATTAAACCGCATCTCTAAATAAATGTGTTTTAAAAAACGGAGAATGTGCAGCACATAGAGGGTGTTTATGTGAATGCACAATGTGTTATGTAGTGAAATTTTGCCTGTGTGTTATCCTGGTTGCAAATATTAATGTTAAAATGAATAAAGAATTTCATAAACGCACTCCAAAAAACACAGGGATGAGAGTTAATAGCACCCTTAAGAACTGACCTATTTGTTGGTATAATAATAATAATAATAATAATAATAATAATAATAATAATTTAGTCCGGCAATGGGAAAATTCACAAATATATTTCAGCAAATGAGACTTTGCAACCCATACAGGAGGCAAGACGAGGAACCATTTAGTATGTGGTTTCTTGGATCTCAAACCCAGGATGTTCTGCGTGTAAGGCACATGTGATAACCACTACACCATGGAACCAGGTACTGTCTGGGTCAAAATAATTTTTTTTCTTTTTTTCTAAAACAAATGATCAAACTCACAGCATTCAAATCCACCTACCCACAAACATGACTTCACATTGGCGGGCCACACACGTGGAAGAATTTTAAGAATATTACAAGAGGGTTTCGTTTCTCTGAGTGAGTTAGAAACCTATTGTTAGAACATAACATCACCCACAACTCATCCATCTTCATCAGCCATACCTGGGTTCTTTAGGGCCTCCCGCTTTCTGTAAACTAAATCTTTATTGTACTGTAGAACTGGGTGAATCCTATTACTGTACCTTGTTCGAAGATGAACACTAGTTCAAACCCAGCCTTTTTTTATTTAACACAGTTGTATGCATTTTTGTGCTTTATTTCTAGAAACTAAATATTATTATTTTTATCCTTAGGTTATTATTCTAATATCTATCTATCTTGAATCAACTTTTTAAAATAATTGCCAGCACACCCTTACAACTAGTGACACAAATTCATTTTGATGTCATGATATATAATCAAACAAGCGGTCCATTTCAGAACCATGACACACAGAATATGTGAACTCCCCCACCTCTCTTTCTCTCCAAGCAGACAGACAGCTGCACGTAACCAGTGACAAGGGGCTTAGGAGGGGCCTGGCCCATCATGGGACATAGTGTCAAGTAAGAGACAGTTTCAGAGTTTCACAGTCATAGAACTGCACCTACCACCATCAGAGACAGACTATCGCGGTCGTCTGGAAGCCGCCAGTGATTCCTCTCCTGAACTTTCGAAGCCTTGTGACACTGACTCGTTTGGGCTAAAGTTTTATACTTTTTCCAATCGTCTGATACTTTTATTTTTACTGAAGGAAGGAAAAGGACACGCTTTCACCATGCAGTCTTGTGCCCGGTGCGGTTTTGTGGTCTACCCAGCTGAGAAAATCAACTGCATTGACCAGGTAACATTCAAAAAAAGTTTGAAAAAAGAAGATACTCTCGTCTGAGAGAGGCTGCTAATTTTTAAAGAAAATAAGAACAATAAGAATTTTTAAAAAGTACATTATTTTGTGGCCATACAAACCAATAAAAACAATTTAGTCTCTGCAGCAGTGAAGTGTACATTAAAAATTAATTAAAATCACAATACACTACAAATTAATCATTATTAATTTGTATTTATTGTAAAACAGTGAAATGTTAATCTTGTCAAATTACATCTATATTTTTTTACTTTCTAACGTTGCGCATGAAAACAAGTCTATATAAAAACATGTCTGCTATGAATAGAATCAAGGCTATCGTATAAAATAACTCGTCGTTTCTCAGAGAAAGCGATCAGTATATCATGAAAAGCCACATAATGTTGACTAGCTTTGAATTACTTGAATGAATAAATTATTAAAAACAGTGGACATATGTTTTAAAACCTTTTCAACAGGTCACAGATCCCAGCTGGTAGAACACTCTGTTGATGTTATTTTGAGCCTTGTGCAGTTAAAGCTATCTTTTTATAATCTGTCCAAAAGTGCTTTGCCAAGCCGATACGGTTGTCTCGTTCTTGCATAATAACTGATAGATGAATTACATTTAATATAATTAATCAATTAATAAAAAGTCAAGCATTTTAGTTCATCAGTGTTAATGCGATTTTTTAAAACTTTTCTCAGAACTGGCACAAAGCATGTTTTCACTGTGACGTTTGCAAGATGGTCCTCACTGCCAACAACTTTGTCAGCCACAAAAAGAGGCCGTACTGCTCTGTGTGAGTACCTGACACCGATCAATAACCCTGTTTATCCCTCTGTGGTTTCGCAAATGACCAAAAAATTGATACCGACTGTCTTTACCACAGACACAATCCGAGGAACAACACCTTCACCAGCGTCTACGAGACACCGATCAACATCAACGCAAAGAAGCAGAGCAAGGCCAGCAGTGAGGTAAGATGACATCACTCGCACATACCCATCAGGAGCAGCAATGTGGGGGTAAAATATTTCAGCCCTGATCTCAGTCAAGGTGTATTAGTGACAGTCTGACATACGCAAGTCTGGCATGAGAGAAATGGCCATTCATCACCAGCCGGTCATGACTGGGCTCACTGTGCAGACTGCTATTCATAGTGAGCACTGTTAGTTTTAGGTCACTGTTGTTGAAAAGGGATTGGTGTATGGAATACAGCCACATTTAAACAGACCTATCAATATCCTAATCACTCCTGTTTAGAGAGGGAAGACTTCTACGTCACATTTGTGACTTTATTCCTGGAATGTTGGTCTCGGTAATGACTAATGATTCTATTAATATTAGTATTTTGTCATGATTGAATGTTAATGACTTTTTCTGGCTATTGAAATACCAAAAAGTATTATCATTATCTCAATTGAAATTATACACAAATATACATATTGATTTATTTCAACTTTGTGAGTTTAACACACTGTTTTATCGAGGGCACATACTCCAAGCTACCTTTGCAGCTATTAAATCCCTGTGTGGTTGTGTAAAACGGTTCAAATGTCAGTGTCATGTTTTAAAAGAGGTTTATTTTTGCCTGTTGTGTCATTTTAAAGTTAACGTGAAGCCTCATTGTCTCTCTATGGCTTCTAAGGGTCAAAGAGGCACCGCTGCAATTTGTTTCCTGCTTTGACGAAGTTCCTAAAAAGATAAAGAGTCAGTTCTTATTTATTTTTTTCCTAAAGCTGTAGTACCTGTGTTTGAGATTTTACCCTTAACATCTGCCTCGTTCTTTAAAAAGAGAGGCAGAGTGGGGAGGGAGGCCCTGTGTTCTGAGTTAGCCGTGATTGCAGTCGTGTGGAATGAAGAGTATGGCTACAGGTTATTTCCGTGTCTGTGACACAGACAAGAGACAACCCCGCTGCTGAGCCCACTTTATGCCACTGCGGGCTAAAATTATTTCAGGGGGGAGAGAAAAAAAAACGGCCTTGCATCCCTTCCTCTCCTTTGCTTTGCCACCTGTTCCTGTCTGTCTCAGTGTGTCTGTGTTCATGAGGTCATGCAATACACTCATGCTTATATTCGCAGTAGGCTAGTAGGCTCACGAGCTGCTGCTGTTGTATGCCATGAGTTTAAGGCCATAAAATGTTGACATTTTATCTCAGGACTTTTATTTTATCTCTGCAGGGACAAAAATTATATTGCTTTAAGCCAGTGTTTTTGAACGTTGGAGTCACGCCCCCAAATGGGGACCCGTGGAATCTAAAAGGGGTCACCTGAAATGTCTAGTAATTGATTTAAAAAAAAAAACCCACACACACACCACAATTTGTAATGTCAAAATAGGGTACAAGCTAAAAAGATTGAGAACCACTGCTTTAAACCATTTTAAAGAAAATCTCCAGTAAATCATCAACTGTTTCTTATTACAAGATAACGATGTTACTGTACCTTATTGTTGCCCCAGGGTGCTCACTCAGCAGTTGTATTGGGTCTCCATTTATTTAGCACAATTCTAATCTTAGTTTTTGGAACAGTCCACCAGCTCACTTTTATATCTTTAGCACCACCCTCAGCTTGTGCTGGCAAATTCTGCTTTATCTTGATTACATTATATAAGAAGGACACTAATAAAGTCTTCAGGTCAGAATACATCAGAACAGCACTCATCTTGGATTGCTTTGATTGACTGACGACCTGTCACTGCTTTACCTCTCCTAATCCTAGCACAATATTCACTGGGATTAGCTCCAGCTACCTCCATACAGCTAGTACAATAAAATATATGTATTTTTTCACGGGGTTCTCAGTTTACAACATCCTCAACCTACAACGTTTTGTAGTTTACTCTTATTTTTAAATTGTTGTGATTCTGGCAAACACTGCACAGTATGTGTGCTTTTGCAACGGCGTGCTGCCTTGGCTTAATGCTTGTCGTCTATGTGCACCTTTAGCTGAAGTATCGCGAAGAAGGCGAGCGCTTTATGTCCACCTTCCACTATGACATGAAGTCCATGGAACTGCAGAAGGCTCTCCTAGCCAACCAGATGGCCAGCCAGGTGAGCTCCGACAGAGCAACCGCCCGTGGCCCAATAAGAACTGGAGATCGTGCTTTCATCCTTTATGGATTATTGTACAAATTGTAGTATATTTGGTTTGAGTTACAATTATTTAATATAGTAAAACTCTACTATCCTTAAAGCCTTTGGTGGGTAGGTTACTTTATTTCATGCTACAATGCAAAGAAATCTGTACAGAAATCTTAGATTGTAATGTTATTTTACGTTGTATTTAACGTCGTAAAATTTCGAGAATGAACTGTACAGAACTGATCGTTGTCACATGATGACACTGTTTTGACTAATATCAACATGGTTTTCCAGATTTATGTCTGTACTATTTGCTTTTTTTCCCCTTTGGTCCGATTTTATAGTTTTTGCTAACACTTTGACTGTGCTACAAAAACACACATTTGTTTCTTAGGAGACAACATGAACCATGGAAGAAGAGATCGGCCGTCTGCGCATAAGCAAATGTGCAACAGGACCTGTGCTGTAATTGTCACCTTCTCTAATCTCTTTTGTTTTAATGTCCACACAGGCCTTTCAGTCCAAGTCTGAGTTCTCACAGCAGCAGACGTGGTACTCGGGCTCTGTGACCAGCCAGGAGATTGTAACATCATCTCAAGCACAGAAGAACATTAGTGATGTCAAGTACACAGAGGAGTACGAACAGTCAAAAGGAAAAGGCAGCTTCCCTGCCATGATCACACCTGGTTACCAGGCGGCTAAGAATGCCAATGCTCTGGCGAGCAGTGTAAGTGTGACCTTTTCTGTTAGCTTTCACCAGAGTTACAGTAGTAGACCCTCATTTATGTCTTTTGTGTCCTTTCTATGTAGCTGGAATATAAAAAAGGACACGAGGAAAGAATCTCAAAGTACACAACGTTTGTCGATCCCCCCGAGGTGCTCTTGGCCAAAAAACAAGGACAAATAGCCAGTGATGTAAGCTTGCAGATTACTTAACCCCAGACAAAGACTAAATATTTTTACTGGTGAAACACATTCACCTGAATCACCTGCATGTCTCCAGTATGTCTACACGGAGGAGTATGAGCAACAGAAAGGAAAAGGCAGTTTCCCTGCGCATCTAACACCTGGCTACAAGATGTCTAAGAAGGCAATGGAGCAGGCCAGCAATGTGAGTAACTAACACTTAGACGGAAACACAAATATGATTGACGAGGATCTCAGGTTAACAGCGAATAATGCTTTACTGTCTTCTAGATAAAGTATCGTCAGACATATGAGCAGGAAATGAAAGGCAAAGCCAGCAGCGACGCCGCTGCAATGGAAACACTCCACGCTAAAGAAAACGCAGAGAATTATAGCCAGGTAAGGCAGGAAATCCTAAAATACCTTGTTTGTTTGTTTTTTGGTCAGTCTCTACTGTATACTGACTGATTGCATTACTTTCTGTCCTGCGTGCAGATCGCATACACGGAAGACTATGAACAACAAAGAGGCAAAGGAAGTTTCCCTGCAATGATCACTCCTGGTTACTATCAGGCAAAAAAAGCACAGGAAAATGCAAGTGATGTGAGTATGAACTTTATGTCTTGCTCCATAGACTCAAAAATAACCAATGTCCAAATAGTCCAGCCAACCAGAGTCAATAATGTTAAATTTTACTGAGTCAGTTGTACAACCATGTGGCCTGGTGTCATGTGTGTGATGGACAGCCTGTGGCCTTGTCATCGCTCGGCATAACAAATAAGAACAATGGGAATGCCTTTCCTTGTGGTCATTTTTTAAACCCTCACCTCTGACCAAATTAGACCCTGTGCGTGTATATATAAACATGAACTGCTAATCTCCTGATCCCGCCGTAAGACAATATCCTGCCCTCCTATTGTACATGCACTAAATCATCTCTTCTTTGCGTGCAGCTAAAATACAGAAAAGACTTAAGCAGGATGAAGGACACCTCACACTTTCATAGTCTGACTTCAGAGGACAATCTGACACTGAAAAACGCAAGAAAGATCAACAAGCTTGTCAGCGAGGTGAGTTCAACGTCTGTACACGTACGTCATGTAGTGTTTTTTTTTAGGATGCAATTTGAAATCTACAAGGAGAGGTGAAACCTCTCCAGGTACAATCCCCGCTGCTGCTCAGTACGTTTGTGTGTGTGTTCTAAATGGGTAGTAGAGAGCGGGAGCCACTGGACATGCAGCCACACATCCTGCATTTCCAGCATGTTGGACATGCCAGTGTGACATCATAACACACGACCTCCAAGGCTGCCTGAAATCAGACTCAGATCACTCAAATGTCACTCAACACAACAGGCTTGCAAACTGAATGCACTCAATAACAACAAGTGAAGGGGAACGTTTCTGAAAAAAGTCTGTACGATTTCACCGAGATCGTGGATTTTCATTGGTTGTTGATTGTGGAAATCAATTATTTTATTTTATTTAGTTTTGTAGCTTTTTTAAAATGTATGTCATTTAATCATTTAAAGTTCAAGAGTAGTGTTCCTGTATCAGTATCTCTGGATTTGACATCGAGGGCAACTGGACAAAGTATTTTTTTGTTTGTTTTGTTTTTAAGATGTTTCACCTCTTATCTAAGAGGCTTCTTCAGTTCAAATAGACTTGCGTGCAGTGCAGAGATTAATGAGTGAGGATGGTTTTTTTCACAGAAGATGGAGCGAGTATATACGATATAGTATATACAGTAGTTGTACTGGGTAGTAGTGATGAAAGAGTAAGCGTAGCACTTCATCTCAGAACCACCTTAAGCAGCAACACGTAAACCAAAGAGTGCAACCAAGAGTTTGAAAAATGCATTGCTTAAGCTCACATAACTCATAAAGGTAACTTGACTAGAGGGGCCTGCCGATAATTTTAAATTTTACCAGGTCAAAACGACAGGAGAAATGCATTAAAGTCATGGAAGCATGAAAGTCAATACTACAGGTTCTGACATTGTGTATTTTTAACCAGGTGGAGTATAGGAAGGACCTGGAGAACATTAAAGGTCACAGCATCAACTTCTGCGAAACGCCACAGTTTCACAATGCTGCCAAAGCTGCCAAGTTCGCCAGCGACGTAGGCGTTTCTTTTTTCTTGCAGTAAATTAAAACATGTTCCGTATCCTATATATCTGCAGGCTGTATAAAAAAAATGTATATCTTACACTTGTTACAGAACAAATACAAGGAGAAATACATCAGCGATATGAAGGGCCACTACGAAGACTCTGGGATCGATAAGAAGACCATGCACGCCATGAAAGCCAGGAAGCTGGCTAGCGATGTAAGTTATTAAGTCATTTTTGTTTTACATATTGACTGAAAAATTTCTGTGAGAATGACATAAAAAAACAAACCCTGGTTGTGAATTTCAGATCACCTACAAACAAAGCTGTGAGCAGGAGTCGGGTGACTACAACTATCCAGCCACAATCACACCAGGTTACCAAAGCCAGAGGAAGCTGGACCCTCTCAAAGATGTGAGTTTTCAATTCATCTTTTAAAGTAAAAGAAAAAATATTTGCAAACGTAACGTACGTAACTTCTTCTTCTTTTATGATCACGTGTCACTGCAGAAGAACTACAGGCAACATATTGACCAGGTCAAGTACAGTCCAGTGATCGACACCCCTGAGATTATTCTGGCCAAGAAAAACGCTCAGCTGGTCAGCAATGTAAGTCAATGTTTTTCGAATGCCGCACAGATTGCTGATGTATGTAAAAAATGTTATATATTGAATGTTGTTTTGACCTCAGATTAAATATAAAGAGGACTGGGAAAAAAACAAGTCCAAGGCCTCTGAAGCTGGCTTGAATGACCTCAGTGTCAAGGCAGCTAAAGCTTCCCGAGACCTGGCCAGTGACGTGAGCAAACACACATATGAATGGGGGGGAAGGTTAATGGCTAAGGGAAATATTCAGAGGAAGTAATAGGAAATTAAAGGAAGTGGTTTGTTGTTTCAGATTAAATACAAGGAGAGCTACACAAAGAACAAGGAGAAGGCAGTGGGGATCGACATGAGTGACTCCAAAACCCTGCACTCTCTCAAAGTGGCAAAAATGAGCAGCGATGTAAGTTGGGTTTTTTTTCCTCGTGTAATTGATGAGTACATTATAGTACATTACAGTAGTACATTATTTTAAAATAAATTTGGTAAGGTTATTAATTGATGTTTTCACATACTGTAGATACTATACTAACTTGGTTCATCTGAATATAGATATGTAAACGGTATTATTTTACTTATTTACTCCCCTGTCATCCACGCTCCAGATCGAGTATAAGAAAGGCTCCAAAGACAATCAAGGTCAGTTCACACTTTCCTCAAACATGATCAACCTCAGTCATGCCAAGAAGGCTCAAGCTCTGGCCAGTGACCTGGAATATCGCAAGAAACTCCACGACTACACCATCCTGCCTGATGACATCAAGGTTTAGCAGGCCAAAAAGGCTTATCAACTGCAGAGTGAGGTAAGAGATGTAAACCCTACACCAGTGATCATCCACTAGTATAGGTCAGGGGTCAAATCCAGCCCACTGAACCCTTACGATAATGTTCAATTTCTTTGTCCAGCCCCCAAGGTTCCTTTCTGGAAAGTTCTGGCTTTCTGACAAATATAGTTGTTGACCCCTAGTTTACCAAAGTAGCAGTTTTAGAGCACGTTTTGTCCCTGTCTCTTCAGAATCAATATCGTTCAGACCTGAACTGGATGAAAGGAGTCAGTTGGGATACGGACGGATGTCTGAACATCACCCAGGCCAAGAAAGCAGGGCAGCTGCTCAGTGATGTCAGTAAAAAAAAACATTGTTGTTGTAATGAATATTCCTTGGTAACATTGTAATAATAACTCGGATATTTTGAATTGCCATTCTTTTAGAATAAATATCGCCAAAAGGCAGACAGCATCGCGTTCACTCACGTGGCTGACGATCTCTCCATCAAACATGCCAAGAAGAGCCAGGAGCTCCAGAGTGACGTAAGCTCCTAATTGAAAAGCTACACATTTCACGTTGCACGCATGACATAGAGGTTCACCGTAATAATATGTGTTGTATATCTGATTTTGTCTCAGCTGGCTTACAAGTCCAACACTGATCAGATGATGCACCAGTACACCATGACAAATGATGAACCTCTTTTCATACAAGCGAAGGCCAACGCTGACCTTCTCAGTGCAGTAAGTTCAGGAAAATCACTAGGGTAGCCGCTACAACCTTTTCTAAATTACAATATAACCATGGTTTCAGTTTCAGTTTACTAGATGAACAGCAAAAAAGACAAATATAATGCAATAGAATACTGTAAGCGGAATGGAGTAAAGCAGAAGTCAGTCCAACAAGATAAGAGTAGTAATAGAATGTTATGTACAGCTTACAGTACTGTATATAGTGCAAAAGTATATGGACGATTTAAACTTTTAATTTTATAAACAGTGAGCAAATGAAGAAATCTAATTAGTGCAGTGTTTGCAATACTGCTAACTAAATATTAGAATGTTCAATCATGCTCAAATGACCAGAACACACATATAACGTGTTATACTAGTCTTGGTTATACTCTGAGCTGTACTGTAGTACTGTCTACGAAGAACAAATCCACCACTTACTTCACAAAGGAACACTGTAATTGATTCAGTTAGTTGTTAGCGTGTCCGCTATTAGCTGCTACTAAATTTGCAACAGGCTGCTTCTGAGAACTGGTCTCTAAAAAGAAAAAAACAAAGGGAGGCCAGTCCACTCTTATAATGAACCTCCACGTCTGCTCACATGAGGAACATTAAACAGTAGCTGCTTTGTATCTTATCGAGTATCGAGTCATGTCTTTTCACTTTAGTTTCACAGCAGAAGGTCAACAGTTAAACAACAGCAGGAGAGCCATCTCAAACATACACAGGCTTATATCAAAATATGAAGCTGCTTTAATGATGTGTCGTGGTCAACACACCGTCCATTAAAAAAATGGGGGAAAAAAAAATATATATATATGCAAAAGGCATTTAACCATGTTGAATCACACTGACATTTACAAATAAGGTTGTCCGGCTAACAAGGGAAAACTCCCTAAATCAACTTTAATGATTAGCTAATCACTCATGAGCCCCCCCATACTGACAACATGACAACCAAGTTTACCTCCTGACAATGACCAGCTATGAAATGACGTTGATATTTCTTCTGTTCTTTGTAGAAAGTGTATAAGGGCAGCTGGGAGAAGCAGAGAGAAAAGGGTTTTGAGATGCGTCTGGACTCACTCTCTATCCTCACCGCCAAGGCTAAGAGGGACTTGGCCAGCAATGTGCGTTTGATATATATCTTAATATTTTAAGCCTTTCAGCCTGTATTTTTTTTTTTAATTTTGCTATTCCTGTAGGTCAAGTACAAGCAACAATATGAGAAAAACAAAGGCAAAGTTATTGGCATCAAGTCAGTCAGTGAGGACTCTCAGATGGCACACTCTGCCCTGGCCACCAAGCTACAGAGCGACCGCCACTACAGAAAGGAGTATGAAGACGCAAAGGCCAAATACTGGTGAGAAACAAACAACATCCATGTTCATGTAGACGGGTTTGGTTTACACCTGGATATCACACAGCCATCATTCAGAGGACACTTCTTTGACAATATATCGTTGTTTCCAGCGTGTCTCTGGATATGCTTAACATCAGCCATGCAAAGAAGGCCCAGGACCTGGCAACTGATGTCAATTACAGGACTTTCCTCCATGAGTACACAACCCTGCCTACAGACATGAATGTTGCCTGGGCTAAGAAGGCCTACGGACTGCAGAGTGACGTAAGATACAAAACGTGGCTATCTATTGGAGGTGGGTTGTATGTCAGAGACATAGAATCACTTACTGTATGTGGAAACGTGTCTTCAGAAAAAGTACAGGTCAGATCTAAACTGGATGAAAGGCGTTGGTTGGGAGGCCTCGGAGTCCCTGGACGTCCAACAGGCGAAGAAAGCCGGAGAACTCATCAGCGAGGTAACCTCTGACCTCTTTAATCCGGAATGCGCTGCAGTACAGTAACAACCTGAAAATCAAATACAGGCACCGACAGAGATTATAACAATACATCTAACAAACACTTCAGGTGTTATTAAGCAATGCTAGTCATGTGGCTAACGCAGGGCTTGAGATAACGACTCGTATTGAATTTTTACAGCTGACGTCAGCATGTATATAAAGACCACCGCGTCATTCGTGTTCTTCAGTTCAGGTTAAGTACATGGGCATGATATTTTAGAATGATTCGAGTTTACTATTTAAGACTCGGTTTTATTACTTGACACATTATTACCTTTACTGTGTAGCCTAGTGCTGAAATGTCACCCCGCTGCTTTTTACAATCATGTTATTTGTGCTAACCAGACCTTCAGAGTGGGAGAGCTGTGAGGCGAGTGTCCAGTTTCCTGAAAGCTCTGAGATATTCTTAGTGTCCAAGCAGCTCCTTGGAGCAAAGACATACACCGACCGACAGACATTAAACGTTCCATGAAGTCGGCATTTCTGTTTGTTCATTCATCAGAGAAATCTTTCAGAGAAATCACATCCGTAATACAGTACAAAAATACAGATAACCTTAGATTTTGTATTAATATGCGTTAAACATACTTGGCTTCACAGAGGACAATCATAAATGTGTTGAAAGAATTAAAAAGAATTCATGTGAACATGCCTGAGACTACTATAGATACATCAGACTTAATGTACGTTTTTATGAATAATATTCTGTAAAACTCCTGCGCCCCCTGCTGCTAACTAGTTGCTATTACCACTATTTATCCACAGGTTCATAACTGTGTTGTTGACCAGTACCCTTTCTTTTATATTTTTCACTTTTTGCAGAAAAAGTACCGCCAGGACGCAAGTTCTCTGAGGTTCACCAGTGTTGAAAACACTCCAGAGATGGTCCAAGCAAAAGTCAGCAACAAGCTGGCTATCGATGTATGTAACACTGCCTTCC